GAATTATCATTTTAAAGCCAACGTACAATTATCTCTAACATTTTTACTATTTATTCTTTTTGTTTTCCATGAAATTCATTCCAATTTCTGTTAGCATATTTTACATTATTACAATCCACATACAAAATTTAGGTATCTTTTACAATTTAAACAATATCAATCTCATCAGACTTCTTCTTTTTTATTTACTTCTATAACAATGTTTCCACTATTTTAGCTTTATCTGATTTATGTTTCTTAATTTATTTAAGAATCCTTTTTTAATCATCAAAACCCATAGCAAGTAATTCATGTAATAGATCTTATTATACTTCTGGTTCTTATTTTCCTTTTTAAAATTAAGCTAACCATTGTTATTATTCTAAATAAAGTGGATGTTAATTAATCATAATTAATATTCTAATTCTTTAAGTACATCAAGTATTTATGCAACATTATTCTGATAAATACTTAAATATAAAATATTGTAGAATGATAATATTATAATATTATAGAATATATGTTTTATATATATTCTAATGCTAATATAATTATATAATTCTTAAAAAAGAAGCATGAAATATTGTTAAATATATCAAAAAATATAATTATTAATGAGAATATTTAATCATTTAATAAATGCTATTACTACTGTAATATCATCTATGACTTCATCTTCTCTTTACCATGCTTCTTTTGCAGCTTATACCAATCTTTAACAAGCACCTTAAGTATCATCTTTTTTATAATATTCATAAACAGTTTCAACAACCCATTCATTAGAGAGAAATCTAATTTTTTATTATAAAAATAATACTCCCATATTCCATCAGATGCAACAATAATAAATTTATCACAAGGTAAGAGTGCATGTTTTATTATTTCTGGTTCACAAATAACACCAACTTAACTAGCAACATAATCTCCAAAACTTCTTGACATAGCTAAACCTGGAACATCTTCATCTGATTTCCAAACTCTTGCAGGTCCAACAGGATTCCCATCTTCATCACTATATGCTTATACACGACCTCCTCTCTGAATGATTCTTGCTTACTCCAAAAAACAATCAGGTTTGTGATCTTTTGATAATTCAATTACTGACAATTTATTATCAAATCTTCCTATAATTGCACGACTATCACCAATATTGGCACAGTATAATACATTTTCAAAAGAAATTACTGTTACAGTGGTTGCACCAGAGTAAGTTACATCAATTCCACTATCTAGTAATTCTTCATTTGTTTAAATGAAACAATTTTTAAGGATTGTATTAATTTATCTAAGAATTTATAATATATATATATACTTATCTCTATCATAACAAGATGAGATACTCATTATACCCTATTCTATAAAGGAAGGTAACACTTATTATAAGAATTAAGCTACTTAATGACCATTTGTACCATGACCATCAGAAACTTGAATATACCAATCATTTTCTTTATTAATAAATTTGTTGATTAGTTTGTATATGTCTTAATTAGTTTTAGATTAACCATTGTATAACATTCCAGGAGAACTTAATCCATTTGCTTTTTTTATGTAGAGTTGCAAGTTAGAAATATCTGGATTACTGATTGAACGAGGTCCTTTAAACAATTTGGATTTAACTATGGATTGTTATTGCTATTTAGTCATTTCCATTAATTTTTGATATTTTTTTGAGATGGCTTGTTGATTGAATATATCTTTGTTTTACTGAATTACAGGTTATTTAGTTTCAGGCTTATCCTATTTGATTTTTAACAAGAGAGACAAAGCATTAGCTGATAAATTTTGTGTATTTTCTTTAGTTTCAATTAATTTACTGTTCTAACGTGCATGAGTTTTTTTGAGTAATACACTACTTATATCTTTTAAATCTTTGCCACTTGTAGGTCTTGTCTTTTTAGCTTCTATTTTAGAATTACCACTACCATTCCTATTACTAGGTACTAAATATCTAGTAGATAGTAAAATTAATAGAAATACTTATTAGTAGTAACAATAGGTGATTTTAGTCTAGCTTATTACTCTTACTCACTTTTTCTTTTGAGAAGAGAAGCATATAATTTATCAGGAGAAATTTAAGAGACTTTAGCTTTCATGCCAAAAAATAGTTGTTAGTTATTAAATTATTAATATTGTATATATTTTTTTTACTTGATCAAATATTTTCATCTTCCAATTCTCCTTTCAAACTATCAACCATCTAATCAGTTTATCTTTATAATTCTTCTGGTGATAATTCACTTTATCCTGGAGTCTTTTCATATTCTTTTTCTAAATCCCATTTTGGTGCTACATCCATTTATGGACTTTCATCTTATTAAAATCTGCTTTCAAATTATTTCATTTCTAAAAGTGATTATTCTTCAGGCAATAATTATAATGGTTAACCATTTTCATCTAATAAATCAAATTTATCAATAGCTCTCACATAATCCATATTTTCATCTTAAGGTAATTGAGCCATAGGAGCACTTGGAGAATCTTCTATTAATGCTTATTATCCCATATCTGGTGATGAACCATCATTTGTGAATAAATCTGCAAAGTTAATTTCCTTCTTTGGAGTTTGATCCAAAGTTTCCTCAACATATATTTCATTATCATTAAGTTAAATAAATGATTTGTGTGATTCAGATTTTTTAATTGCATTTAATACGGCATTTCTTTCTCTTGTTTCAGCTTTCTTTATGTTGTTCTACTTAACAAAATCATTGTTTGTTTATTCTGTTACTGAAATGACTCCTACATTTCCACTTAGATCTTATGCATCTCCAACAAATTTAGAACTAGATTATAATATATATATCATTACTCAAGTTCAACCATATTTTTAATATTTTTAGTTTCTTTTTATTTCTTATGTTCTCTCATGTTTGTTGCATTTGTCAAGGCAAGAATCAATAGAAGAATTGCTATAGATTTCATATTTATATTAATTATTAATCCGTTTTAATATAATTGTATAATATTTTTCTTAAATTATGTTTTTCATTATTTCTCTGAATATATTTTTATTATAAAAATATATTTGATATTATAAATTATAAAATAAAATGTAAAATTAAGATTAAGAATATCTACTCAATATTGTGAATCCCATCTTAGAATAATTGGCACTCTATTTAGTTAAAGAAAAACCTGATAATGTGGTAAATTCTAATCATTATAATTTAAATAGACCCAAGCATCAATTGAATGGTTAAGTGTAACAGGAGGTAATCTTATTATCCATCTATTCACTAGCTCAAATTGAAAATGGATTACATCATAATTAACATCTTCATAATGAAACTGTTGAATCATCTGATGATACAGAATCTGATGAAGATGACTATGAACTTTATGCTAATAATCCAATTAGACCTGATAGAGCAAGTGTAAGTGCAGAAGTATATGGAATTTATAATAAAAAAACAAATTTTAAACCTAAAATTGTTGCAAAGTCTCACTTACAAATTCAGAAAATTAAAGAAAAATTAGCTTAATCATTTATGTTCTCAGAATTAGATGAACATGATTTAAGAATTGTCATCAATGCTATGGAAGTCATCTAATGTATGAAAGGAGATATTGTAATCAAATAAGGTGATGATGGTGATAATTTATATATTGTTGATGAAGGCACATTAGATTGTTCAAGATCTAAAGCTGGATAAGATTCTGTTCATCTTAAAACTTATAAACCAGGAGAATCATTTGGTGAATTAGCACTCTTATACAATTCACCAAGAGCAGCTACAATTGTTGCAGAAGAAAATTGTGTTCTATTTTCTTTAGATAGAGGAACATTCAATCACATTGTCAAAGATGCTGCTATCAGAAAACGAGAAAGATATGAATACTTTTTAGCTCATGTAGAATTACTATAAGAACTTGATCCTTACAGTAGATCATAAATTGCTGATGCTCTAAAAAGCAAAAACTTTAATATTGGAGATTACATTGTTAAAGAAGGAGATGAAGGAGATATCTTTTATTTCCTTGAAAAAGGTGAAGCTGTAGCTACTAAAGTATTAAATCAAAGTATTAATTATTAATTTATTAATTAGGTTAACCTGCTTAAGTTGTCTATTTTTATAAGGAAGGTGATTATTTTGGTGAAATTGCATTACTTAGATAAGCTCCAAGAGCTGCCTCTGTTATAGCTGAAGTATTTCTTAATTCTACTTTTATATAGACTCCATGTACAGTTGTTTATTTGGATAGAGAAACATTCAAAAGATTATTGGGACCTCTTGAAGATATACTCACTCGTAATTTTAAGAAGTATGAAAAATACATGAATTGAGATTATAAAATATCTATTTATTTTAGAATAGAAAAAATTTTAACTAAATAATTATATGCATTAGTCACAAAATTATAACAGAATATCAATAGCTTAAAAAGAAAAGACAGAATTAACAGCTTAAGATTTCAAAAAGTTTATTTCAATTTCTAATTAGATTACTTTAAACACGAATTACTTAAACAAAAGAAGAAATTGATAAATTAGAAGTTAAATTAGAATTATTTAAACCTGAGAATGCAAAATCATAAAATCAAAAATAATATTTTCATGATAGAAGAAAATTCATATTCACAAATATTAGATTGTAGAATATATATAAATAATTAGATTATAAGCTCATCTTGGTAAATTAATTTAGAATCAAGCCCTTTTAGAAGATGAAAATATAGAAGAAGCTAAATTAGAAAATATATTAGGTTCAATATAAGATTTAAGTCATTAAAATTTGGAAATTATGAAAAATTTTTAAACTCTCAATCAAGTACCTGATGATCAACCCTTGCCACCTGATTTTATTATGATGAGTGAAAGGGTAGCTAGAAATTACAAAGTTATATAAACTCAAGAAGAAATAGATGATAAATTTGATAAATTAAACAATTACTTTTAAAATGAGATATAGAAATATTACAAAAATCCAATCTCTGCTCCATATCTTAAATTTGTGCCCAAAATTATATGAATAATACATTATTAATTATATATTAAAATTTTATTATTTTATGTCAAATCAATTATGACTAAATATATTCATTATTTTCTTTAACATTGATATTTTCTCTTATTTCTCAGAAGTTTCCTTTTTATCAATAAACTCTGGTTAATTTTTCAATTATTATTGTTTTTCAACTTTATCTTATACTTATGGTATAGTTCTAAAGTTGAAACTTGTTCCAATAATTTATTTTTTTTGTTAAGGTTTTTGATTAACATTATGATTAACATTCTTCATTTTTGCAGCATTCTTGATATTTCTACTTCTTAAATTGTATGAATTATATATTTATTCATCATCCTTTTCCCAGACTTAATTTGTTTTATAAATAAACTTAGCTTAATTAGATGAATTATCTTAAGCTTCTAAAGAGTCATCTGTTTATTTTGTCTAATATTTAATTAATATATTTACATCTTAACTAATCCATTTTTCATGAGTTTAATCATCTGATTATAAGGCATCATTTTTATTTAACAATTAAGAACCTAAATTTAAAGTAACCATCTCTCCTTCCTCATTTACATAATATTCCTCCCAATAATCAGTACTTGAAGATACATTGTATGTTGTTGAATATGAATAAGTTTCTTCACCATCGTTTGAAGAATATTTAGTTGAGCTACTACTACTACTTGACTTTAATCTTGTCTTATAAGAATTTGTAGAAGCATCCCAATAATATTCATATTATCCATCATCATAAGTACCTTATTGAGCTATTTAATCATTTGATACTACCCTCCATTTATATGATTAAGAATCAGCATCCCAATATTATTCATAATATGTAGTTGAACTTGATGAAGTTGTTGAATATCCACCAGATTATTAACTACTTCCCTTCTAACGTATTTAATAGGATTAAGTATCATAATCCCAATAATACTCATATTCAATTTAAGAAGAAGTACTGCTCTTCTTTCTTGTCTGATAAGATTAAGTGTCCACATCCCAATAGTATTCATATTAACCATCATCATAATTGTATGAAGTACTACTTTTCTTTCTCCACTAATAAGATTGACTTGATGAATCCCAATATTATTCGTATTCATTTGAATCATATGAATTTTCTTTCCTTCTCCATTAATAAGAACCTGTCTCCCAATCCCATTGCCATTCATAATCATTTTGTTCATTCTATTATTACTATTTCAATCTCCAAAGATAGGCCTATTAGTTTGAATCCCAATAATATTCATACTCTCCAGTTTCCCATGAACTCGATCCTGTTTATTTTCTTCTCCATTTATAAGAATTAGAATTCTGATCCCAATATTGCTCATAGGTATATCCATTATATGTATAAGAAGTCTATGAACTAGATGATGTGGAACTGCCTGATTATTTGAATTTGTAACTCCAGCTACTTTCATCCCAATAATATTCGTAATCACCTGATTCCCAAGTACTTGATCCTGTTTATTTTCTTCTCCATTTATAAGAATTTGAAGATTGATCCCAGTATTTCTCATAGATATATCCATTATAAGTATAGGAGGTCTATGAACTAGATGATGATTATTTGAATTTATAGCTCTAGCTACTTTCATCCCAATAATATTCATAATCTCCAGTTTCCCATGAACTCGATTCTGTTTATTTTCTTCTCCACTTATAAGAATTAGAAGATTGATCCCAATATTTCTCATAAATGTATCCATTATAAGTATAAGAAGTCTATGAACTAGATGATGATTATTTAAATTTATAACTCTAGCTGCTTTCATCCCAATAATATTCATAATCACCTGATTCCCAAGTGCTTGATCCTGTTTATTTTCTTCTCCATTTATAAGAATTTGAAGATTGATCCCAGTATTTCTCATAAATGTATCCATTATAAGTATAAGAAGTCTATGAACTAGATGATGATTATTTGAATTTATAACTCTGGCTGCTTTCATCCCAATAATATTCATATATTCCACTCTCATATGATGTTGAACCTACTCTGTATCTTCTCCATTAATATTAATTAGAGCCTTCATCCCAATATTATTCGTAAACATAACTATCATAAGTGTATGTTCCTGATGGTTTTGTACTTTAATCATAAGTCTGGCTTCCTTTCTTTCTTTTCAAATATCTAGAACCATCCCAATAGAGTTCATAATCATCTTCATTAGGACCAGATCCCTTAACTCTAGTTTTGTAACTTTATGTATCAACATCCCAATAATATTCATATTCAATAACAGTTGTAGATCTCTTTCTTCTAACATATTAAGATCCATCCCAATAAGTTTCCCATTCACCCTCATCACCCTCATCACTTTCATCTCCAAAAGCCATCTAACCCCAATCATCATCATCATCATCAGGGATAGGCAAAGGAGCAGCAGATTTTGTTGTATTTTTTGCAGGTGTTATAATGATCTCCTCATAATATTCTTCATAATATTCCTCATAATATTCCTCATAATATTCCTCATAGATTGTTTCCTCGTATCCTTCATCTGGAATAGGTAAAGGCTAACTTGTTTTAGTAGTGTTTTTTGGATCATCCACAATGATAACTTCTTCAGGAATTTATTCTTCTGGCTCTTCTTCTGGAATGGGTACTGGTTCAGCTTATTTTGTATCATTTTTGACAACAACTATTTTTACAGGTTCTTCTTCTTCTTCCTCTTCATATGGAATTTCTAGAGGTTCTGATGGCTTTGTCTAATTAACAAATGGTTCATCTGGTACAATTATTTCTTCCTCAAAATATTCTTCCTCAGGAATAGGGAGAGGATCTACAACTTTTGTTTAATTAAATGTATCAGCTGGATCTTCAATAGGGATTGGCTCAATAATTTCTTCTTCTTCGGGTATTGGAAGAGGTTCTGAGGGTTTGGTTGCGTTCTTTGTATCAACAGGTATAATTTCTTCTGGTATTTCTTCCTCAGGAATGTATTCTTCAGCCTCCTCTTCTTCTGGTAAAGGCAAAGGTTCAGCTGGTTTTGTTGTGTTCACATTAGTAGGTTCTTCAGGTATTGGCTCTGATTCTTCTTCTGAAATAGGTTCTGGTTCTTCCTCTGGAATTGGTTCGGGTTCTGGTTCTGGTTCTGGTTCTTCTTCCTCTGGGAGAGGTTCAGGTTCTTCTTCTGGTATAGGTTGAGGAATTTCTTCAGGTTCAGGCTCAGGTTCTGTTGTTGGCTCTGGAAAGGACATTTCAGGGAATAATTCTTCTTCCTCTTCTTCTTCCTCTGGTTAAATAATTGGAATTGGGTTTTCATCTGGTTTTGGTTTTACAGGATCTTTACAATCATCGTCATCTTATTGCACTACCACTATCACTGGCTAAGCTGGAGTAGAACAAGCAGGTTAAGTACTCACTTTTAATCAAATTATATAATCTACATAAAGCTTCAAGAATTGTTAACAATTCTCCATTTTAACTTCCAATTGTTGTTGTATTTGAATTTTAGTATACTGTTATGTTTATTGATACGTTCTCCATTTTCCCTTCTTACAATTATTTTATCAAATCTTAGACTTCAGTAGTTCTATTTCCATTAACTGTTATATTTGTTTTTAATTATTCAGGAGCTTTTGGTGGTTCTGTTGGAGGTTTTGGTATCTCTGTAGGTGGCTGAGTTGGCTACGAAGTTTCAACAGGTGGTTTAGGTGGTTCAACTGGTGGTTTAGGTGGTTCAACTGGTGGCTAAGGTGGTTCAACTGGAGGTTTAGGTGGTTCAACAGGTGGTTAAGGTGGTTCAACTGGTGGCTAAGGTGGTTCAACTGGAGGTTAAGGTGGTTCAACTGGTGGTTAAGGTGGTTCAACTGGTGGCTAAGGTGGTTCAACTGGAGGTTAAGGTTGTTCAACTGGTGGCTAAGGGGGTTCAACAAGTGGTTTAGGTGGTTCAACTGGAGGTTTAGGTGGTTCAACTGGTGGTTAAGGTGGTTCAACTGGTGGCTAAGGTGGTTCAACTGGAGGTTTAGGTGGTTCAACAGGTGGTTAAGGTGGTTCAACAAGTGGTTTAGGTGGTTCAACTGGAGGTTAAGGGGGTACAACAGGGGGTTGAACAGGTGGCTCTACAGGTGGTTTAGAACAATCAACAGGTTATTGAGGTGGTGGTAAAGGTGGCTAGACTGGCTGCACAGGGGGAATCTCAGAAGGAGGTTAAACAGGTGGTTATGAAGGTATTTATGGTGGTGCTTAAGGTGGCACTTATGTAGATGTTTGAGGAGGTATTTATGGTGATGTTTATGGAGAAACTTAAGATGGTTCCTAAGTTGGTGGTGGAGGGATATTAGGTGTTTGTGGGGGATTTTAAGGAGGCTCTTAAGTTGGTTTTGGTATATCACAGGGTGGATTTTATTAAATCTATGGCGGTTATGATTATGGAGGATTTGTCTGCGTTCCTGAACTTGTTGATGGTTATGTTGGGTATTATTAAGGGGGAGGAGGAAATTGTTGTTGAGGCTGAATTGATGGTTAGCTTGATGGTGATGGTGGATTTTAAATAGGTTAATATGCCTATTATTATGTTCTAGTAGGATCTTCAATTGGATTTTATGATGGAGAATTAGGTGGAGCATTTTGTTATGGAACATACTAAAAATCTTATGTTTAAGATTATTGTTGGGGTTAGGGTTATGGATTCTAGAATTATTGTGAAGGGACTGTTTATTATGTTGGTTGAGGCTAATATTAAGTGGGAGTATCAGTAGTTGAAGTTTGAGTTGATTATGATTAGGATACAGTTGAAGGTGGTTAATTCTAAATAGTGGTTGTTTGTTAAGTAGTAGTTGTAGTGTTACTTCCTTATTAACTTTATTATTAGTTAGAAGTTTGAGGATCTACACAGTTTATTGGCTATTAGGTTCCTTAAATATTAGTGCCTTATTATTAATTATTTGATTATTAAGAAGATGATGATGTGGTTGTTGATCCTTGACTTGAATTTGAAGTACTTGGTGTACCATAAGCATCATCTATATAACCTGCTTCATTTTTTATGTTTTGTGCTTGTTAATTAATTGCTTCTTGTGCTTTTCGTCTCTGTCTTTCTTCCTTTTAGAAACAAAATTCTTAATATGTTTAGACTTCCTCAATCTGAGAGTTCAATGCGGAGATCTTACGCTGTTTATTTTGTGTTGTCAAAATCTCTTCAAGGGAATCAATAATTGATTGAAGCTCTTTCTTCAATAAATCTATTATATAACCAGGCTAATCTAAAAAAATATTATTTTGCATATTACTTTAAGCATCTGTGCATATATCATCAGTGATTTACATCAATCCATGAATTTTAAATTGATCTTTCTAAATAAAAGAACTCAAAAACAAGTTTGACTCAGGGAGAGTCGCTTTTATTTATTTTAATGTTTCTAAGTCAGTTTACAAATCACAATCATCGGTTTGCAATATTTCAATCCAATAACGAATACTTATGATGATATTATCAAATTTTGGTTATTCCACACATTCAGGTACATATAGAGTTATGGGATTGAATAACAATGCTTCATTCAATGTTGTAAATCTTCCTAGCACTAAGTTTAATGCATAGAACACTATAATATAAATTAATGTCATTTTATTATTAATTATTTGTTAACTTTATGAATTTATCTGCCAGATCCTATATGCCAACTTAAAAATCTATATCTCCATTGATTGATCGGACTACTAAGAAGCGTACTCTTACAATTTAAGAACTTACCAAGTCAACAAAGACTGCAAATAAGATAATTAAAGAAAAATCCACTGAAAAAAAATTGACTTCCAATAGTTCTCAAGAAACTTCAGAAACATGTTTAACTAGGAATGACTCTGCATAGGACAACAACAGATTGTAGTAATTGAAAATTAGAGTTTTAACGTATACATATATCTCTCAAAAAGCTTAGAGAAAAAGTCTAACAGATTGAAAAATTAGATGTATGCAAAACTACACTATTGCTTAAAGAGCTCCAATACTATCGTGCTAAGCATATTAATAGTTCAAATACTTCAGTGATGGTTGCTTTGGCTTTAGCACGTAATTGATGTTATAAAATTACTTTATAGTCACTTATAATACATAACTCCATGTCTTTTAAACTATAAATCAAATTTATATTATGAAAATAATTATCTGGTATTACTAAGATATAAGTATTAAAGTAGTCTAACTAAAATATAACTAAGTCAAAAAATATTAATATTATTATTTATTTTATTATATATATATATATATATTTAATAGTGTGTTTAATTATTTATAAATATATAAAAATTCGTTGAATAAAAAATTCATAATAATTATAATTAGATAAAAATGATGAAATAAGTAATAAATAATATTTCAGTTATTTTAATATTCATATCTAGATTTTCCTGCCTCTCCTGCAGGTAAAAGGTTTTATGATGATTTTTAAAGAAATGCTAATTTAATATGAATAATTTACTCTTATAATTTTATAGATCTTATCTACCTCTTGATACATTTGAAGCATTATTTGGAATAGTTTCATTTCTATTTAAAATGATATGCAAATGAATTACCTAGTTTAAAGTATATTCATTGTTGGATAAATTAAAGTTTGATTTCTTGATAATTAACTTGAAGGGACATTTTACTTTTAAAAATAAGCACCTCTATCATCCAATTAGATTGGTGGTCTTTCATAATAGTTTTTATTTTAATCAGTTTAAGAATATGTTTAAACTGTTGAAGATTAATTTTATTATTGTTAATTTGATTGTTGCTATTCCTATGTTACTTTTATTTCTTTAGATGATTTTGCATTATTTAATTATGTTTTTGTTTTAGATGATCTCTTTTTCTTTTTCTTTTTTTTTTCATTTTCTGAATCAGAGTCTTCAGTGTCACTAAATAATTCCATTATTTAAGTCTATAATTGAGGATTAGTTAAAAATTGTCTCCAATTACCATATTTCATTTCCAATTTCTTTGCTTCACTTTCACCTTCAACAAATACATAGGAAGGATAAGGACAATCAACATAGACTGGTTTAAGTACAGCCACTTAAACAGGAATTTGAATTCTCTAATTAAATAAAACCAAGTTATACTTAAACTTTCATTTCAGCATAATTTATTCGATCAGGTGGTGGCATCATGATATAAATTAACGATTATAATTTAAATAATATTAATCAATTTTAAGTTCTATTAATATTATAATCATATTTTTTAATAGTGATTTCATATATGATCTGATTAAACTTCAATTTTTTATTAACTTGATTTGGATTATATTTCTTAATAAAATTATCTACATGATTTAAGTATATTTTTTGGATTTAACTCCATTTATTCTACTTTTTCTTTAAAATATAAATCTTTATAAAAGTTATCTTCCATTTATTATAAATAAACTCTAGTTTTTTCATCAAATTTAGATAAATCTGGTAAAAAGAGTATAATACCAGGTTCAATACTTTTAATTCTTTCTTTCAATTTTCTCAATAATTCAATTTCATTATCTTCATTTTCTACTTTAATAATATAATTTTATTATTCTATTTCTTATTCATTCTAAAATTATTATTACTGATCATGATTTTTTTTAACTTTTTTCTTTTTTTCAGGTTCTTTACAAAAATCTTAATTGCAGAATTTTTCCAGTTCTATTTAAAATTGTTTCATCTCATCAGACATTGTAAATTAATGCTCCTTTATCTTTTCTAAAAGAGTTCTTAATTTATGATAATGAAGTTATTGTATAGGAATTAAAGGACGATAATTATTGCATAATTACATTTGTATCAAAATCTGTTTTGATTCACTAACAAAGTTTTATCCTTTAGACCACTTTTTTCTCTTTACTTTTTATTCATTTTGATCTGACTCAATTGATGAAAACTCATTAATATCATTAAAATTTTTAGATTCTTTGTAAAAACTTGAGAAATCAAAGTCTTTTAATACTCTATTTTGAAACTCTATCAAAATAGAGTGTTAGAATTTAGATTCAATAAGCTTCATCTCTTTTATTAAATATGTTATCAAATCCTTTTGTACATTTTCAGGTAGATCTTTCAAATATTTCCACACACCTTAGTTAGGATAAGATTATAAAGTTGCACATCTATTACTTGATCCTGGTTTGATTGACACACAAGTAGACAAAAGATGATAAGGCAATTAGTTATTATTGAAAAACTTTCTAACTGAGTTTAATGCCCATTTCATGAATAATTTTTTCTTTCCTTCTAAATCATGGATTACAATATTAGATTAAGTTTGCATTTTAATATTAATATTTATTTCTAATTCAATATTTCCTAAAATTAATTCCAGAATTCAATTCTATAACTAATTAAATCTTAAAAGAATTATTTAGACCTGATCTGAATAAATTCTATTAATTTTCTAATATTTATCTATCTGATTAAAAAAACCGTAACTAGAAATTTTAATATATTCTTTTTTCACTAATTTTTAGATCATTTTTTATTAGTTTCATGAACACATTATAGCATGCAGTAATCTACCTATGATGAATTGTTCAAGAAAAAATTCAAATCAGAAAATTATCATTCAGTATTTATTTACTCATCTTTATAAGATTATCTTAATTATTTGATTGAAAATTTAAGAAAGTATTTCCATAAAAAAATAGTATATAAGTCTTTTAGAAATAACCTGTTGTTGAAGGCTTGAATCAAAATTTATTATATATATAATAAGTCCTAATTCTATCAAATATTTTTTTTCAGTATAATTATAGGCATCCTTTAAATAATCTTTCCATTTAATACATACCATCTAGATCATGTAAATTTTCAGTTTTATTGTTTATTGAATGAATTTTCTACTTAGTATGTTATTTTAGATTGGCATTTTTTTTATACTTTTAGTTTTCATTCTAAATTATTTAAAGCTATTAGTATTTAGTTGCTTTGATTATTGAACATACTCTTAATGATTTAATGAAATTATAAATGAGTCAAACTTTGGAAGAAAGATTATAAATTTTATTATTTGAAAATGAAAAAGTAGAATTAATAAAGAAGTTAACCTAAGTCCTTTTCATATGTAAATCTTTGAGTTTATAATCATACTAATTAATTAGAGAAATATAATTGAATGTTCCTATTTTAATAATAATTATCATAAATTCCATGATTTTTTTAAAATTGCTTCAAAAGTCTCATCTTATTAAATTGCTGATGATACATCCTATATATATATATTATATATTTTACCTAATAAAATTCACCAAACTCTTAGAATGAAATGACTTTGTCTGGTTAACCCTTATTCCAATGAGATACAAATTCTTAAAATACTTGTCTTTCTGTTTTGTATCCCTTTAGTACATCAGGATGTTCTTTAACATTGATAGTTCTACCCATTGTATCCAAAGTAACTTTGCCTGATTTTTATTCAATAGATGCATAGGCTCTTTAAACAAAATAAAGTCTTTTATCACTCATTTGTAACTAATTATTGATTGAAATATTTTACTCTAAAAGCATCCAAGAATTCATTAAATTCAATTTTCCCATTATTATTTTTATCAAATGTTTAAAATATCATTTTAGTTTCATCTTCAGATAGATTTAGTCCAAAATTTCTAAGTCCCCATTTAAAGTCATCATATTCAACTACTCCATCTATTTTAATAAGTGAAATAATTTACTGTTATTTTAATCCATTTCGAAAAAGATTTTAGCCAATCCTCTCAATCCATAAGAACCTTTACCAGTAATTTATTATTTAACTCTAATCATTAGATTTTTAACATTTCTATTATCATCCATAACTGATTCATCAAATTATTCATTTTATTTAGTTGCTACAATAAATTTCCATAAATTCTAAGGTCTATAAATATTTATATTTTATACTCTTAATTTCTTAATGGAATATCAATTGTTGTTCTACCTTCTTTTTCTGCTATCAAATTCTATGTTTTATTCAAACATTAATAAGAATGAACAAAAACTTCACGTTCTCTACCAAAATCGTTTTAATATACAATATCATCACTTGCTAACCAATGTTATGTAAATGAATGTTTAACAAGAACAACATCATCAATTCTAATAGGTTATCCTTCCATCTCAAATCTAATTTTTGGATCTGAATGTTCTAATTTCCATACAGTATTAAAAACATCACTCTCTATGGCACAAACTTCTTATTTTCTAGATATCTTCGCACATCTAGTTGGTGTCTAAGGAAGTGAATGGAGATAGAATGTTTTATTATTAGAAATTCTTGGGTTTGCAAGAATTCTAAAATGTTATCCATAATGTAAAACATCATCACCAAAGAAATTGGGTTCTTTGGTATAAGGTACAACTACAAATACAGATCTTACTGTTGGTTATGTTGCTGGTGCTGTGGTAACATTATATGCTTCCTCAGCTATTTTCAATTTTTCTTAAATGTCTATGGATAAGAAGCCTTATGTTTTAAGGTTTTGAAGCATAATATGGAATCCAAAATGAATGTATTCATCTTTTGGAAAGGTAAGTGATGCCAATCTAAGACTGAAATTAGTTTTTTAATCCTTGACTATGCTTGCCAGTTACCCATTTTATCTATTTTTCAAATAGTCTTTTTTCCTAATAAATTCATGAACAAATTCTCACTTGGTCTCATCTAACTCCCACTCTTCAAACCAATTACCAATGCGTGTCTAGAACTTGTATTTGTGATCGACGTTGTAATTATGCATAATAATTTAATATTGAATAAATACATCAATCACAAAATATATCATATTCATTTTTAATCAACTTTTAATGTTTAATATACTTCTATTCCATCAATAAAAGTAGATAAAACTTCTGTTTGATGTATTTCTGATGGTTTAACCTTTAAAACATTTTAAGAAATAATAATAAAATTAGCAGGTCCTCCTTCTTTCAATATTCCAAATCCTGGTTTCTATATTAATTGAGCAGATCCTTCAGTATAATAATGCATAGCTTAAAGAATTGTAATTCTTTGTTTTAAATCTCCAATTGGAATAGGTTTTTAAGTATGTCCTAAAGGTTATCGAGTGACTGCCACTTCTATAGCATCAAAAGGATTAGCTGAACTAACAGGCCAATCACTACCTAAACCAATAATACATTATTCAAGATCTCTTATAGGATACATTCCTTCCATATAATGTTCAGGTAAGCAAGTTGGCATTAATGAAAGTTCTGGACTCTCATAGAACCATAAAGCTGAAAAATTAGCACCTAATTTAAACTTTTTAAATGCTTCAATAGCTTTTGGTGAAACAAATTCAAGATGAGCCAAATAGTTAATAACATTCTTATTAAATTTATGAGATATCCTCTCATATGCTTCAACTACAATATCTGTTGCTCGATCTCCAATGCTATGAATATGAGCCTAGATTCCTCTATCATTTAGACCTTCAATTATTTAAGGGATGTTCTAAATCATTAGTTATCCATTGTGTTAACATTTACAATATTAAACATTCATTAAAGCTGTCTTTGATTCCAAAACACCATCAACAAATATTTTTACACTATGACAATATAATTTCTATAAATTCAAATCTCTTATCTATTTAATCTAATTTTCTACTGTCTCAAATCTTACCTCCTCATCAATACCTTAATTAAAGATAATAATTACTTTAAGTCTATTCTAAAAATAAATCATTCCAACATAAACTCATACAACAATATGGTAATTGATTAGAATAATTTTAATTTTAATACAACTTTATGTAATTATGAAATAGTTTTTCTTTCACTGCAGCATCTTAAAATGCAACCACTCCATATTTAATCAAGTGTTGTAATCCTTTCAATAAACAATTCTATTATTCAGTCTCACTTAATTTTGGAATGAATTTTCTCACAATATTCATTTATTCTTCTATATAAATACCATTTTCTTAATGACTTTATGTAATTTCAAATATTTTAGAATTGCACCAATATGCATGGCAATCATCCCTCATTATTATCAATGGCTTCTCAGGACATATATCATCTAATTCTTATACATTCTATTTTATCTCTTTAAACCATCCTTATGCTTTTCACATATTTAATTATTTCATTACAATATCCATATGCAAACACCCATTCATTTTTATCATGTTCACCTTTCATTATACTGTCTTTAATTGCATTTTTAGCATCCTCCCAAGAACAATACTTTTAGATTTTGAGTCTACTTAATTAAATCCCTCCACTTTAGGGATGAACATGACTATCTATCATTCCAGGCATAGCCATCTATAATTCATTTAATTTAATTATTCTATTATTTATCTCTCTATTTACCTCATATTATCTATTTCTAATTCCCAATAACCTGATTTTTTCATATATTCTTATAAATTTTCATTTTGCATTTAAGCTTAATTAAGAATTTCATCTATTTATCCCATTCTTGATATTTTTCCAGCTTTTATTTACATACATTCAACTTATACTAATGGTTAAAAGGAAATATAAATAGTTCCAATAACAATGATATCTAATTATTAAATTTGATTATTCATTTATTTAATTAATACTTATATTTTATTATTGAATGAAAATTATAAAATGTTAAATTGTCAGAATTCATCAACAGATAATCAATTATCATAACAAATCAATCTTTTTTATAATTAAATAATATTTTTTTTTATTTTTTAACAATTTCTAGAAATATCTATACTAAAAAAAGAAATATTTTTGAAACATATAGATTGTGATGATGGATTAAACATAATTATAAATTAAATAATTGTGTCTATTTCATAGTAAATGATAATAATGAATTAAGCAAATAAATTATAATATTTAAGATTATTTTTATTCATTTATGAAAGCTTTCGAAACTTTGCGTGATAAAATTATATCCACACTTCAGAATGTTAATCAAAAATCAGCAACGCTCTCAAAACCTATAAAAAGCCTCCTAATAATACAACATCAATTTTTAATGTTATCATATATATTCGAATAGAAAAATAATTCATTTTTTTACATTATTGCTACTACAACTAGACCATAATTACTCTTACATTCTAATAATATTTGCTATTTGATTTTACCAATCCTATTATTATATATGATTAGTATTTTTGTTAAGAAAATACCAGGAAGATAAAAGATATTGGTAATAGGATAGTTATTAAGAGTGAGTGTGTATAATGTATTTTTTGAAATTTCAAAGGGAGAATTACAATTTATTGTTTAAATCTTACTAATTATCATTAGCACTATTGATATCCTATTCATATTAGGGACTTTAAACATTAAGTAGATGAATTTCTCATAAATTTCAATTAACTATTTTTAAATAGCTAATCACATTTTAAACAATTTAATACTAATTTTTAAATAATATTCTAATTATAGTCATCTCATAATAATAATTTTATGCATGCTTTATTCACTAAATGGATTCCTTAATCAAATTATTTACTCCCCTATAAAATCAACTAAACTTCATCCTTATATCCTTTATGCTCATCTTATAACAATCATACAATGTATTCTTTATTTTGCTGATATTAAATTAAATGAATTTCCTAATTTAATTTTATGTACCTTAATACTTAAACTTATTTAAATTTCAAGTGCAAATTAATTGAGATTTCCTATATAAAATTTTGATTCTTTATTACTAATAATAGGTGATGGTTGCATAACTTCTGAACATATAAAAATTATAATAAACAAAAAGTTAATTCAAAAAGAATAGGATAAAATACTTTATGCAACAATAAAGATAAAATAGAAACATTATTATGAAGCATTGTGTCTATTATACAATTAAAAGAGTTCAAATTGGTTGAATTAAATAAAAAAAACAATAATTATAGATGAATGTCTAAAATAATTAGAATTTAAAATAAAAACATCTTCAAAATTTGATTAAAGTGTAGCATTAGCTGTTGAGTAATTAATGAAAAGTGAAGACAGAAATTTCATTATTCAAGAGAAAATTATAGAAATAATTAAATAAAAATAGCATATATAAAAATGTATTACAGAATAAGATTTAAAAATATATCAGAAACTTATGAATTTTGTAAATAAAGTATAAGAAGTCAAAAGAAAACTTGAAAAATAATATTCCTAATTTCCAAATTAAAAAACATAAGCAATTTTAAGTTTTTTATATGCTGAAATATTGAATGATTATATTTCTGCTAGTAAACTCTCTATATCTGCATCTAAATAAGAACTTATAAAATTTTAAAATCATTAAGCTATTTTTAATATGTTTAATTCTAAGATGATTTATTTCATAACAGATTTTGATTAGTAAAGATTAATAATTAAAAGAATGTCTAGTAATACATCATAATTATTGAATCTTAGACATGATTAGTTAATTAATAAAGATATTGATCAATTATTACCTTGGGGTATTAGAGAACATCATAATGAAATGATTATGAATTTTTTAGAAGAAGGAATATCTAAATATATGAGAAAGGTAGATTTAAAATATTTTAAATGTCATTAATCTTCATATTTAATAACAGCTGATTTTACATTAGATATTAGTTTTACTAAATCATCTTTAAAATTTGTAACATTTTTATAACCTGTTATTCATTAACCAATGATAATAGTACTTAATTAAAATAAAATAATTACAGAATTTAGTGAGAATTTGATAGAAACATTAAATGAAAAGCCTGAAAATATATTAAATAAACATATGAATTAATTTTTACCTTCTATTGATACAATTGAATTTAGTTAAGTATTAGAAAATGTTGAAATGATATCTTAATAAAGTAGTTATAGTACAATGAAATCTTATTCTATAATTACAACAGTTAATGTAAAAATTAAAGAATTAAAAGGTAGAATTATTTATTACTTATTAACATTTCAATTTATTAAAAAAATGAATTAAAATTATACTTATAATTAGATGGTATAGAGTTTCTCAAATGGAGCCTTGAGTTAAGATAAAACAGATATTAAAACTACAGAAATGAAAATTAAGATTGAAGATGATAGATTTTCTGGTATTTTTAAAGAAGAAATAACTATCTCTAAACCATATATAATGGATGAATAAAATTAAAGACATTAAGTTAATTCTACATTTTTTTAATTTTAATAATTCTCTAATAATTATCTTTAAATTAATTAAGATAAATAAAAAAGAACTATTTAATAAAATTAAGCACTCTAAACTAAAAGTTAAAATAATTCTACTCTTATTAGTCCAAATAATAGTTTATATTATGATTAATTACTCTCTCAATAATAATATTTTTGTAGGAATTCTTAAAAATAATTATCTTATGTTAAAGAAGAATGTAGTATAGATATGGTAAAAGAACTACATGCCATCAATGAAAGTAATTAAGAAGAAGATTGCAAACGATCTCAAGTATCTTCTGTGTAAAATTTAAAATAATCTCAACATTTTAAGAAATATTAAATTTTATATAATGTAAATAAATAGTAATGCCATTCAGGTTCATGCTTATTTTTAAGAACATCATTATTCTCATTGATTGCTCATTCAATCATCATTTATATAGTAAATTATATTTAAATCATAGATAATTTAAAGTTTATATAGTAGCTTAAATTAGTTAGTAAGGGATATTGAATTACTCTAAGTTAAAAATCAAGCATTTTAACCTTTGGAGACATTTTGGGTAAATAGATGGATTATATTTAATTATATGAAAATGAAACAGAACCATATCTTGGATGAGGATGAATATAATTAATTGTTAATATTTCCAGAATATACAATACCATTATAATTTTAGAGATTGTAATCAAATTTGAATGAAATTGTAAATAAAAAAGAATTACAGAGTTCTATGTCTTCTATTAATATTAAAGTATTATAATATATAGATTCTGATGAAGGAGAGATTTATGAAATCTCAATTAGAAGTTGTATTAATATATTATTAGAATTTTAATATACATTAAAGTAATTTTATGTTGAAAACTAACTACCATAAACTGACAGTGCCTATATTTATTATTGTTATAAGAATATATTCAATTTAAAGTAACAATTTCAAATTTTAAATGATAACATTTATGAATAATCTCAAATCAATTCAATTTATATTTTAACATAGTAAAGAGTACTTTATTTAATATAATCAATATTGATTATTTTTAATCTAATAGTACTAATTATTTTAATAAGGAATGTTGAAAAATAACATTTAAAACATTTAAGATTGTTGTTTTCTTGTCCCAAAGAAACTTATTATTAAGAAATTCATAATTATTAGCTTTTAACAAAGTTTATTCTTAAAGATAGTGATAATTTATTCAAATATTAATTTTTTGTACATGATAAAGAAAAGAATTTGATGAAGTCTACTTCTACACTTATGAAATCTAAAGATCAAATTCAAATTAAAAAAAATAATAAAGATATCAAGATTTAAGTAGGAGACTAATCTATAAGAATAATATCATTTCTAATCATGTTCCTACTTTTAATTTAAGGTGCATATGTTTATTGGATGATGTCAAAGTATATTATTTCATATCAACCAACTGCATAATTTTATAGGAAACTTTCTGATGTAGGTACTGATATTCCTACATTATATTCTCATATTAGTGTATTATATGGAATTTCAAACTTTACATTTCTTAATTAAAATGATAAACAAAAATTCATTAATGAAATTCAAGATTCACTTTAGAGATTAGAAAATTTTGTAAATATTCAAAATGATTAAGAAAAGTAATTATTCTATATAATAATAGCATATTATCTACAAATTTTATGAATAAATATGATTATCTTTAAACTGCTAATCTTTGTGAATATATAAATTAAGAAATATATGATAATCCCCCTTAAATTTGTAATCAATCACTCAATTAAAATTTATAAAGAGGGATATCATCTGCTCTAATTTACATTTTAAATTCAATAAAAACAGAAAGAGATTTAAATTAGTTTAATGAAAAAATAGGTTATGATAAATATGAATTAGAAGGAGCTTTGATATTTTCAGAATTCATTGAAAATCTAAATGGTGAATTCTATCAAGACTTAAAAAATGTTACAATATAAAAATTAAACTAATTAATTGTATATTTATAATCATATTTCAATAGTTCACAGTAATTGGAATTTTCTGCGTTCTTATTTTTATGATGTTTTTTACTGTAACTGTAGGGAAATTTTATTTGACCAAAAAAAACAACGCAATTAGCTAATCCATTTTTATGATACCTTTTTCAGTCATCTTTTTTGATGACTATTATGAATTAAAACTAAAAAAGATTTAATAAAAAGCATTTCAGAGCAAATAAATCATATTATGATATTCAATCTTTATGCTTATATATTAAAATTATATTATAAATATTCAAATTTAATATATTCTTCAATATTATTTATACATCTTTGATTAATTAAAAATTTATATTTAAAAAATATTCACCAAAATATTATTGATGAAATTAATAATTAATATTTATATTTGTTTCCATTTAATTTCTATTTTATTGGATTAGTTGCTATATGGGTGTATTACAATATTTATAATAATGAATCAAACTTACTCAGGAACAAGTTTAATATATTATTTCTAGAGAAATTTCAATTAATTATTTATAAAAAAAATGATAACATATATATATATTAATAATAAATTTAGTTTCTTTTAAAATTTTTATTGTAAGATTAGAATTAGCAAATATCATACAAATATCATTACGTAATTATATTTGTGAAATTAATGAGATGCTACCTATGTTATTGTTAAATCAATTATTAAATCATTGAATATTATATATATATTATCTTAAATGAATGAAAAATTGTCAAGATGGCTAAATTATTTTATAGAATTGTATTTGAAAAACGAAGAATAGCAGATTGTATTTCCTAGCATTTTAATATTGATTCTAAGATTTCAATAAGCATTGCAAACCTTAAGCTATATATATGGAAAGAACGCTCACTCTTATTTAAGTTTGATATCGATGTTTGCCAGACCACAAGTTTATTTGCCAAGCAGTGATATAGCATAGTATGTAATATCAATTATTTGCCTATTTTACCTGCTAAATATTGTATCAACTATCTCTTATTTTAAATACATAAAAGCATATGGATAACTATTAAGAAGTGGTTTGCTTAATTTCTTCTTTGAGTATTCAACTGGAATAATTAAAATGTTTACACATATACTATTATTGTTAATTTCAATAACTGAAACATTAATTCTTTAGGGTACTTTAAATGCTTAAACTATAAACTTCCAACATACTAGATATACAATTTTGGATTTTATTATCCAAAGTTTAAACTACACTATTATGATTTTTTATTCTTATGAATTATCAAATTAATCAATTATATTTTTAGCTTTTGCTATAAATTTACTAAGAGCGATCAATTAACTATATTATTCTCCTTTAAAAAATTTAAACACTAAATGTATGTTATTAACTATTTACATTTATAATCTATATTAAGGATTCATGTGGATTTTTTCTATACAAAGAGATTTCATCTCAGAACTTGTATTGATACCTCTAATTTATAATGTGTTTTATCTAACATATATGAAGATATTTAAATAATGTATATTACTAAAAAACAATAGAGTTTGTGATATGTTATCAATACTGGTTTTTTTGGATAATATTAAAGAATTAAAAACAATAAAAATACAGAAACCAAAAAATTCAAAGGATAAAATTATATATTGTTCTTTGTTAATGATGCAAGGTCACAATTATGAAGCCTTTTGTGAATTAATAGCAATTAATGATTAAGAATTGAATATTTTAGAATAGTTTAAAAAAAAAGTGATTAAAAAATTATGTATAAATAAAATAGACATTAATATTTAAGTGTAATCAGAAATGTAGCATAGATTATCTATAACTGTTGCTTCATTAATAGCAAGTGAATAATAAAATTCTATAATTTATGATGATGTTATATAAATATTAAAAGAAAAGATACGAATCCTATTATTATTAGCATAAAGTTAAACATCTTATCATTACTCTTAATATTTCAGCTTCACTTCAAAATTATTAGATCTTCAAAAAAGATTGGAAATTTAATATAAAAACTATGCATGTTCTAAAACACAATGTATTTTAGGGTTTTTCTATGTTGAAGTCATTAATGATTATTTAGCAGCAAATTCATTATTTAGTGTAATGTCAATATCAGATGAGAAAGTAAGGAGAATCAATATTAATCAAGATGTTTTTTCTAATAAAATGGTATTCATAATTACTACATTCAAAGAGAATTTAATAATTAAAAAATTATCAAGTGATGCTCCTAAATTTTTTAATAAATCTATAGATTCCTTATAAGGTTAAAGTGCAAATATACTTATACCACCTGGTATTTCTGAACATCATGATTAATTTATTCTTGAATTCTTATCAACAGGATAAGCTAAATATATGAGAGTCATAAATTCTAATTATTATTATTCTTCAGAATAAAATTATATGACAAATATCGAATTTGCATTTGATGTTAATTTATAAAATGATTTCAGTTTTATCTCCTTTATTTAGCCTGTCCTCAATTAGCCCATGTCTTTAATTATAAATAATGAGCATATTATAACTTGTATCAGTGAAGGACTCATTCAATATTTAGAATTAAAATATTCAATTACAAAATATCTTGGAAATAAAATATAAGAAATTTTACCAGAATTTTAATCTCCAAATCAGAACTATTAAATTATTGAAAATGCAGAAGCAATCTTTTAAAAGAATAATGAAGATGAAGGATTATTTTAGTAAATTTAAGAGTCATACATAACAACTTACAATATATATCAGAAAAAATACAAAGAATAAATAATTTATTATATAATTACATTTGAATTTTTTAAAAAGAATTTGGGATAAAGTTCTATGATTTATTCTAAGATGAGTCCTATTAATTCATTTAGAAAAGATTAGTTGATTTAATCATGTTTCAATTTAATTAATTAAGAGAGTTTTGTTAAAATCCCATATAATGAATAAAATAGTTAATAAAAGATTTTAAATTAATAAGATGCCCGAAAATTATTTTAAATTGAGGATATTTCTGAATAACCAATAATTACAAATGAAATCAAATTAATTTCTTAATCAGAAAATTTTAATTTAATTAGTCCAAATAGTAAAGTTGAAATGTTAACATATGATTAAGTCAAGTTTCCAAAACAGAAATTAAATAAAAATAATGTGAGAATTTCTATAGCTGAAGAATAATCAAGTTAAGAAAGAGTTGTTGCTTATTAAGATGATAGATCCTCATAAGTCTCAAGTTTATTAGGTGTAAGAAAATCTAAGTTTTATAAAAAATATGAAATAGTTTAAAAAATTACAAATTTATAGAGTTTTTCCAAAAACCATCAAATTTTAATCACACTATTTGTATTTAGCATTCTTATTTAATTTGCAGTCTAAATTTTAGTAATTATTATATATAATTTTAGTAACTAATTTAATTAAATATTAATTTAACAAATTTAGTATCAGATATAGATTTACTTTAAATAAAATATTTCGTTTTTTAACCACTTGAAACATTTTTATTGACTAGATATACTATTGTAAGTTATAGTTAGTAAAGAGATTCAAAGGCAATTACTTTAGCTTAATTCAATGAACTCATTAAATTTCCAAGATCTAATCTTGTACTTGGTTATGATTCTTTAGATTAAAATCTTAAATAAGTGATGAACCGTCCTGAATTATAAGATTTTCTAGAGAATACTTATTTGGATATATATATTTATATTAAATCTGGTATTGGTGAAAAATATAATATTTCATTGAGGAATAGTATAAGTATTTTAAAGAATTATTAATACACTTCTAAAATGGCATATGTGATTGATGGAGTAGCTTAAGCAGATAGTCCATATTCATATTATTAATACAAAAATTATTTGCCTTTAAAGACATTGTTTTCTGAGTTAAATCAAATAGTTTAAGAATAAACTATAGAGAGATCATATAATTTATAAAGACAAATTTTAATAATTTTATTTACTTGTATCTTTCTACTTTTCTTATTCTAAATTGAAATTTTCATTTTTTATATTAGAATAACTAAGAGAGTTAATAGACATTTTTAATTGTTACACAATATTCCTGGTTAATATATAGATTATGAAATTTTGAGGATTAAATATCTTGTTGAAAGATTATTTAAAGATTAGAACATTCTTTTTAAATATCAATTTAATTTGAGTGAAAAAGAAAAATTATTGGAATAATATAATGATAAAGTATTGGCTATAAGAAGAAGCAATCAAAAATTAAATTCTATCAATTGTAATGAAATTCGATATTACTTATTTATGATTTTAATCATGTTAATCATGGCTGGAAATTCTCTACTTACCTTTTTAGAAGGATGGGATTATCTGGATAAATATCCTGCTACTGCTAAATTTTATAGAGCAGTCTCAGATGTAGGAACAGATATTCCAACTATGTATGCATAAAGGGATATTCTCTATGGAAGAGCTAATTTAAGATTATATACAGAATAGGATTGCTAAGATTTGTTGAATGAAGTTAAATTAGCAGTTAATAGAACATCCTCTTTTATAGATAGAAGCATATAATTTGATAAGTATTAAAATCAACTATATTTAGATATCTAGTGTCATCTACATTTGAAGATTTATATTAATCTATTTAAACCCATGATTTATGTGATTTCTTACCTGATGATTTGAAATACAAGTCTGTAACACTTTGTCCTATAGTTATGAATTAGAATATGAAAATGGGTTTAAAAGCAGTTTTAGTTTATATAATTAATTTCATTACTACTGATATGGAAATTAATTAATTCAAAAATAGAACTACTTAAAACTATCTTGAATTAGAGGGTGCCTTTTTAGTTTCTAATATTATAGGATCTATCAATTAGCTATTTAATAAAGATTTAACATAATAAACTGAAAAAATTATCTCATAGATTAATGTATTTATTTTTATATTATTTTTTTAGTTACATAACATTTTTATTTTATCTGTTCTTTGTTTAATCATACTATTTATCCTAACTGTATTTAAGTAAAAGTTAATTTCAAAATACTTAATTGTTTAAAGATTTGTTTATATATTACCTGTTTATCATTTATTTTTAGACAATGTTTTTGAAAGAAATTTAAGACAACTAGTATAATAAAATTGATTTTATATATAGTTTCTTACTGAATTTTATTAATTATAAAAATAACCATATCTTTAAATACATATAAATAAATTTCATTATCTAAACAAATAAAGAATATTCTTCATGTAGTTGGTTGAAATTAACTAAAATGTTATTGCATTGCTTTGATTTATGATATAGTAATGTCTAATCTTTATTTTAAGTTGGTTTGTCTTTAAGCTTAAGGAGATTGCAATTAAGGAGGAGACCAAAACTTTTTTCCACTTTAATTAAAATTTTATTTTGTATTTAATAAATTGTAGGTTGATCTAAAGTCACTAACTGATGTATCCTTCATTGATGAATTTTCAGTGAATTCTATTTAATTATTTTAGAATCTTTTTGAGGAAGCTTCTGTTTAATTAGTCTTTTAATTTGTTAGAGTATGTTTTGAACATTTTCTTGAGAGATCTCTTAACTAGTAAAAAAATTTATTATTCTAGACTTCTTTTTAAGGTTATTTATGTTCCCTAATTTAAATATATATATATTACTTTAAGCATATTTATAATTTTTCAATTTTAAATTGATTTTGAGAATTAATTTTGCTTTCATTTTCATTTTTATTAATTTACTCTTATAATTTTAGTTATAATTGATTGATTTCTTTTTATTTATTCTCCACTTAATCTTATAATATAGTAGTGTGATCAATAGCTAATTTTAATTAATATTATAAAGTAGCTACTTGTTTCTCTAAAATCTATTTTTTTTTTGATAAATTTATACTTAGTTTTTATAGATTTCTTCAGTTAACCTTTCTGATGAACATATAGCTTTAATTTAAGTATTATTAGATAAATCATCAATTGTTTTGTCAATAATAGATAATCGAGAGAGAGTAGTTGATTAGTCAATTAGATTTTATTCCATCTTAAATTTAGTGTAAAAATCTTTTGATAGATACTAAGAAATATCTTTAGATTAAAGGAAATTTGACTTTGATATATTCAATGAATCATTTTAAATGTCCATATTTGTTAATCCTATTCTCTATAATTAAAAAAAATAATAATAATTGATTTAAAAACTTGAGTTATTCTATCGGAATAACTACTACTGAATAAAGGTATTTTAAAAAGATAAAACAGGGATTTTTTTAGGAGAAGATATATTTTGAAAAATTATAATTTATAGGTGTTGATGAAAGCTTTGTCACTTCTTTGAGTGCACGCACTGCTTTTTCAACCCCTCATTACTGTATATATCAGTATGAAGGGTTTGTTTCACTACTACTACTAATGCTAAGGCCTTTTCTACTACTCATTTGGATCATATTATTAGAAAGTTTTCTAAATAATTCCTTCACTTTGATTATTAGTATTATTAATTTCATTATTGTTATTATTTTAAATAACATTGATTTTATTAACTGTATTTATTTTAACATCCACATTATTTACTATTCTCATATCAATCTGAGATGCTAAAATTAAATAAATATTTAACATAAATGCAACGACGAAATACTATTAATATCTGGATTTATAATAGGTTCAAGTATAATTGTATTTTCTTAATTATCAGTTTTTTAATAATTATTACCTATTATGTCATTGTCTTGACCCTCATTATCCGGATAATTTTTAGATTAATTTAATTATGTCATTGTACTATTGGACCCTCCTTACCCTTAATCTTTAACAACACTCCCTCTACATATTTGCTTTCTCATCAGTTTACGAAGTTTTCGTTTTAAGATTCTCAATTTTTTTGTTTACCTAATAAAAGTAAATTTTATTATATTTGTTACTTTGAAATATCAGACTCTTAAACAGTCTAAATGAACAAGCTAGTAGTGTTATAATGAGTTTAAAACATTTAAGCGAAAATCTATTTTTCTTCTTCTAATTCTTATTATTCCAATTCTTCATCATAATAGGTTTCGATATATTTTAATGAAGTTTATGAAAAGAATGAAGAGTTGTTAGCTGATGAGTTGGTAAATGACATTTTATTTGATATGATGAAATTTTTTGTTTTAATTAATATCCCAAAAGTTATATATAAAAACTCAAAAACACAATATGAAAATCTTATAATCAATTATAAAATCCTATTTTAATTTAAAAGAATTGAAAACTGCTTATCAAATGAAGAGCTAATGTTTATACAAATCAAATTTTAATTCTAAATTTATTAAATAAGGATGTCTTAACATGAATTATTCCATCTTTAAAGTAGAACTATTTAAATTGCTCCTATCCATTGATATTGTTATATTTAATTTTATTCTTAAAAACAATATAAAAAATTAACATAAAATTAATATCAAATTTAGGGTTCTTGGTAATGATTCTCTAAATTTATTAATTTTTTCTAAAGTTGAGGTAATTTAATATAATAGTTGATTAAACATTCTTTAGATTTTTCTAATTTCATTTAGAAGGTGTTATAATTACTTTCAACTAGAATATCTATTCCTAAACATTCTCTAACCTATTCTCTAGATCTTAAATAAAGATCATTCTCAATTTAAGATTTAAAAATAATATCAGAAATATTTTAACTATTGATTTATAAGAAATCCTTCATATTAATATTATTTTGTAATTTATTCTATTTTTAAATGCAATAAAAAAGTTCCATTAAACTATGTTAATCTTTATTTACTTATAGAAATTCATCTTATGATTAACTTAAATTAAAATTAGTTTAAATTAAGTTGATTTACTTTTAAATTCTAAAAGCTTAAATCTAAAAGTGAAAATTTGCATTTTATTGGAATTCCTAATTAAATTTCTAACACACAAATCTAGAATTCATAATATCCTATAATTAACAATATGACAATATAGATTTAAAAAACAAATTTCCTAAATCAGAAATCTTGTTTATGTAATTTTATTTAGCTTTCATTTTTAATAGTAATTAATTTAAACACTTTGTTTATTTTTAGATTTTTATAAGTATTTAATCTTTATTATGAGCATCACAAATTTCTTTATAATTTGAACTAGTAGAAAATTCAAAAAGATTTTTTATATATTCTTTTAAATTATCGTATTCTTTTGAATCAATAAGATTATTTTTAGTAAATTTTATAGAACTTATGTTTTTTATCATTCTTTTATCTTTTTCAATGAAACCATACCAATTTAAAGGATAATTCTGAATTTAATTAGTTACAATTTATAAAATGTCATATTTTGACAAAAATTCATTTCTTTTGTTATTTTAAGATTTAACTAAAGTATTTAAATCTATAATTAATGTTAAATAGGATAGAAGTTGATTGGGAATTTTATTAATTTTACCCCTTTAATACATCAATTTTTTTAATGAATTACAAACATTTCTTAAATTAGGAATTTTAGGTTCTTAAAAATTTCTGATATTTAATGATTCAATGTATTTAGTTCTTTATATTTTATAATATAATAAATATTCTATATTAGTTTCTATTAAATAGTTAGTGAAAACACTAACTAATCTTAATTACTTTATATCTTGAGTAGATAAAAATTACATAATATTTCTAAATACTATTTGAGAAACAAAACGTTTAAAAAGATTTTTCTCTTTATAGACTTTTATTTATTTTAAAATTTTTGTATTTTACTTTTATTTGATTTCATTAACATTTACTTTTACTTTTAAATTTTATTTTGGCAATTACAATACTTATAATTACTATACTACATCATTAAATTAATCGAAAGCCATTTTTAATTATTCTTATGTTTTCTATTACTTTTCTCTTAATTCTTAGAGTTAATACTAAAGAGATATAATATCTGAGTTCATTTTTATAATTATTATTAAAAATTATACAAACTTTTATATTAATAAGGTTGAAATTCTGATCAAATCTATTAGGTCAAACAAATAATAATGTTGTTATTTAATGAGAAAATTATGCTTGTTTATTTGATAACCATAACATTTCTAAAATTTTATACAGTTATTTCTATTAATTGATTATAACAATTCAATTTAAATCATCAAAATAGTATTATTTAATTATTTGCCCTCATATACAATTTGAAGATTAGTTATAGATATTTTAGATTTAAAGATTATCTCTCAATTAGAAAAATACAGCATTTTGTACTTGAAATACAAGAAATAACAAAATATATATTGAAGGATTATTAGAAATTTGAAAAAATATATTGAATTATTAAGATTTTTTATAGAATAATGTATAATTAAACCTTTAAGGTGTAATTTTTATAGAATTTAAGACAAGAAGTCAATAATTCAATGTAAAATATTCAATAAAAGATATGAATTCATTTAAATTTGCTTGATATGGTAATATCAATTCACAAACAATTAATTATTATTACTACAAATCATATGGGGGTGTGCTCATCAAAAAAACACCACTATCCTCTTCAGAGAAGCTAACCTTAGAGAAATATTGAAATCGACTTTGTCAAATTGTTGGAGTATAATCGTAAAAAGGAAGTCAAGGATAATTAGAACAATTAACAACAACAGTCATTCTGTTAGATTTTCTTACAAGAAAATAAAAATTCTAATCCTCAAACCTTTACATAAAACTTAGCTCCAACAGCATAGTTAGACTACAAGAAAATTTGATTCTATTCTTGGTTAAGCATTGAAACTCTTTGAGTGATGAATTTGTTTAATAAACTGAATTATTAATAATATTGCTCCTGTTCTCTATTCTATTTTAATACTTATTGATACTCGAAAAGTTTCATATTTACTGTATTTAATTTTGAAAACAATCCAAATTAATCAATTAATAATATATATACTCATTAATCTAAATCAAAGAATATTTTTATATTCTGATATTTACAAGAATTTAAATATGTAATTTAAAGCTCTTAAAACCTAATTATTTAAGGTTTCAATCAATTTTTATTAGAAGCTTTTAATTATTAATACTATATTCAACAACTAATTTTGATGACTTAAGTTTAATTTAAAATTTCTTTTTTAAATTTCAACCTTTAAATTCTATGCTATTCAATCACATAGAATATAAGTATAATCTAAATCCTAACAAATTATCCTAATCTTTGGTTATATGCTCTAAAAAATAATTTTTAGAGTTTAATAAATATATAATTCCATTATTATTTTCACTATTAAGTCTTTGAATTATTTTCATTATATATATTCAATAATTATCAGTTTTTTTGAGAATAGAATTACTTAAAAATAATACACACCTTAATTATAATTCAAAAAACTTTATTGATTTTGAGCTTATTAAAAATATTAAGTTATGTACAACCTTTAGAATAAACTATCTCATTTCACTTTTTCAGAAAAATCTGATAAATTTATCAAAAATTATTCAAATCAGAAATGAAAAAGTTTAAGTAAATATTTTCTATCTTGTTATTTATTGTTTGAATTCCCTTCCATAATTATTGATTTTTGTAGATATTTAATATAATAATTATTTATTTCTACATTAATCTTATGAGATTTGATGAATATAATTTATTTTTATCTAACTATTAAATGAGACATTAATTTCTTAGTTTATTTCCTTTTTTTTATAATATGATATTTTTTTAATGTGTCTTCTTTCTTATACAGCTTTGATTGATTCTACTTAATTAGATGATATTTTGTGATCATAAACTACAATTTGAATTTATTAATAAGCTAATCAATCATGTAACTTTATTATTAGATTAAAAAGATCGCCAATTTAACATAATGAAATCGAAAGACTTAATTTTAAACTCGTTTTATGTGGAACAACTTAAAAATCATTAATAAGCAATAGTCTATATCGTATGATTTCATTTTTCATAATTGTTTATTAAAAGATTAATTTTTAAGTAAATTTATTTATAAATCATTTCATTCATGTATTAATTGAATTATTTGTTTAAAAAAAATCTTTCATTAGAGGACTTATCTTAAAAAGAAATTGTAATCCATTTTGAGCTTCTATGTTTTTGAATATATTATAGATATTTCAAAAAATAAATATTATTGATTGCTTTTAATTTTATTACAATGTATTAATTGTTTTAAATACCCTTTATGAATTGGTTTATAATAAGATGAAATGAATACAACATTATTGATTAATTTTCTTAACATATTTATTCATGATAATGTATATTTCACCATTCAAGGAAGGGATCATCAGCTGGCTTAAGTGCAGGACTCTAGGTATCAGATTCTGGATAGGATGAGAAATTTGACGTATCATTTGCAGCTCTAATTAATAAATATTCAAAATTCTACTTAACAACAGGTTTATATGGGACTGGTAATTTCTTTTAGGTTAACAAGTTCCAATCTAGATTACCAAACCATCTATGATTCTTGATATCAGCAGCTCCTATAAATATATATATTTAAGAGGATTACCATTTTTTAAGTTTCCATATCTTTTTGATAAATCTGCAACTAATAAATGTTTGACTAAGGATTTTGCATTTCTAAAATAGGAATATAAAAGTGTACTTATCAAAAGACTTAGGAAATTTAACTTTGCCCTTAAGAATCTTTTAATAAATAGCCATAGGATCTTCATCAGAAAAAGGATCAATTCCTGCATTCATTTCATAGATTAATATTCCCAAAGTCCACCAATCAACAGCTTTACCATGTCCTTTATTTAATAAAATTTCTGGGGCCAAATATTCAGGAGTACCACATAAAGTATAAGTTCTTCCTTCAACAACTTTAGCAAATCCAAAATCTGTTAACTTTAGGTATCCATCATCTGCTATCAATAAATTTTCTGGTTTTAAATCTCTATAGACAATATTTTTGGAATGAAGATATTCAAAAATTGAAGCAACTTATGAAGCATAAAATCTATAATAGAGATAATATAATATATTTTTACGCAGCATGTTAAGTATCAAGTCTTCCAATGCTTCTCAAATAAGTAAATAATTCACCTCCTGATACAAACTCTAATACTAAATATAAGTATCTTGGATCTTGGCAAAATCCCTCAAAATTGACCTATTATAAAGTAATTAAGTCAATTTACGATAAAAGGATGGGATAAGTTACCCAATATAGTATTTTCATTAATAACATGATCAACTTATTTTAATCTAATGATTTCAGCTTTCTTTAAACTTTTCAAAGCAACATATTTATTTGTTTATTTGTTTCTAGCCAATTTAACTCGTCCAAATGATCCTAAAATTTTGAATTTTAATTTAATTACCTGTTCCTAGTGTTTGAAACACTTCATAATCTGTCAATTTCAACTTCTTTGGTTTTGCCAATCCTGTACTCATCTTTCTTAAGATTTATGAAATAAATAAAATATATAGATATAAATTAATTGTATACGCCTAAGAACTTTATTCAATAACATATATTATGAGTAAAATTTAATGATTATATCGACATCATTTAAATAAATTGTAGTTTTGAGAATTTTAAAGACAAATTAGAAATACAGTTTTCTAAAATTGAACCAATAAATTCATTATTAATGATTAAGTTTAAAGGGACAATATAAAATATGTCTTAAAAGAATGTTTGTATATAAAAATCTTATATAATTATTGGATTTGTAAATATAAGATATTTATACATCCTTAATAATATTTAACAAATATCAACCATCTCTTTAATCTCCAAATGTTTCTTGAGGTTCTTCCTCTCCTTAACGTCCTGATTGTTATTATTTCTTTTTTATTCCAGAAACAACATCATCAATTCTTAATAACATACATGCAGATTCAATGGCAGTTTTAAAAACTTATCTATATTAAATAGCACTATTTAACTTACTTTTTAACTGAAAGTGGTTCCCAAACATTAATATCATTCATTTTGGCAATCTTTCCAGTATTTCCATCAACTCCAAAATAAAGTCCACCAGTTTCACTGTGTTTTGCTCTTAATTCAGTCAACACTCTAACAGTGTCAGCTCCACAATTAGCTGAAAGTGTTCTTGGAATGATTTCTAAGGCATAGGCAACTAAAATATGATTAATTAAATATACCTGCTTTATAAGGTAATTAACCTAATCCTTCTACTCTATTAGCTTTCTCTAATAATCTAGCACTAACTTCCATTTCAACAGCTCCACCTCCTGGTAATAATTTTGGATCTTAATATATATTCTTAGCCACTGCTAAACAATCATGTAAATTTCTTTCCTATATAATTAATACATTATATAATATACCATTTCATTTAGAACATCTTTTGAAGCTCCTCTCAATATGATAGAACAAGCAGTAGGATTTTAACAATCAACAAAGAAAGCAAAATAATCATCTCCTATTTTTTTGACTTCAAATGTTCCACATAATGTACCAATATCAGTTTCTTATATTTCTTCTGGTCTATTAACAATTGTTGCTCCAGATACTCTTGCTATTCTAGTATTATCTGTTTTTCTGACTCTTCTAATTACAGAAACATTTCCTTTTAATAAGAAATGTTATGCTAAATCAGATACTCCTTTTTCTGTAATAACAATATCAGGTTTATGTTTTAAAATATCATTACACATTAATGCAACTTCATTAATTTCTTATTAAAGTGCATCAGTCATATCTGATTCTTTTGTCATTTCCATATTAGTCATAGATTCTCCCTTTTTGTATTCTAATGTACAATCTAATAAAATTATTCTTGGATTTTTAATTTCTCTTCTCATTCTTGGATGAGTAACATCTTTATTAATCATAACTCCTTCAAGAACACAACTTTCTTCAAGAGTTCCACCAGGAATTTTCTCTACTTTTGCATATCTCTTGATTTCCAAATTCAATTTATTAACATTACCACCTCTTAAAACTATTCTTGTAGCTTATAAAGAAAGATCACTTATTAATGTTCCCCATCTGAATGCAAATTTAGTACCTATACAAGATTACAAAGCTTTCATAACTTCTTCTTTTTTTTCAGTGTCAATTTATTATGCAATTTCATCCAATATTGTAAGTGAATCTTCTAAAGCCTTAAAATAACCATTAACAATTTCAGTAGGATGAATATTCTTTTCTATAAATGGTCTAGCTGCAACCATCATTTCACCTGCCAAAATTATAACTGATGTTGTTCCATCTCCAACTTCTTCATCTTAAGCCTATAAATTATAATAACTCAATAATAATACTCTTGCTAATTCAATCATACTCTTTGCTGCTGGATGTTGAACATCAATCTCTCTTAAAATTGCATTACCATCATTAGTCATTACTATTCCTCCCATTGGATCTAATAACATTTTTAACATTGAACGAGGACCAAGAGTAGTAAGGACTATATCTGATACAGCCTTAGCTGCTTATATATTTCCCAATTAAGCTTTTCTTCCTTATTCTCTTTTTGTATTAGCATTCACAACAATCACTGGAGCTCCTTACATATATTTATATATAAAAACTTTTAATGGATTTTATTATTTTCTTTTATATTTATTAATGTTTATATTCATTAATATATTATAAATCATTATCAATTTAAAAAAAATAATAAATTCAATTTTATTAGATCTGCATTAATAAGTCTTATTCATATCATTTAATATATTTAAAATAGGATTTTTTGATCCATTTTAAAATATCTATAAGTTTATAGAATTAGAAATAATNTATACCATTTCATTTAGAACATCTTTTGAAGCTCCTCTCAATATGATAGAACAAGCAGTAGGATTTTAACAATCAACAAAGAAAGCAAAATAATCATCTCCTATTTTTTTGACTTCAAATGTTCCACATAATGTACCAATATCAGTTTCTTATATTTCTTCTGGTCTATTAACAATTGTTGCTCCAGATACTCTTGCTATTCTAGTATTATCTGTTTTTCTGACTCTTCTAATTACAGAAACATTTCCTTTTAATAAGAAATGTTATGCTAAATCAGATACTCCTTTTTCTGTAATAACAATATCAGGTTTATGTTTTAAAATATCATTACACATTAATGCAACTTCATTAATTTCTTATTAAAGTGCATCAGTCATATCTGATTCTTTTGTCATTTCCATATTAGTCATAGATTCTCCCTTTTTGTATTCTAATGTACAATCTAATAAAATTATTCTTGGATTTTTAATTTCTCTTCTCATTCTTGGATGAGTAACATCTTTATTAATCATAACTCCTTCAAGAACACAACTTTCTTCAAGAGTTCCACCAGGAATTTTCTCTACTTTTGCATATCTCTTGATTTCCAAATTCAATTTATTAACATTACCACCTCTTAAAACTATTCTTGTAGCTTATAAAGAAAGATCACTTATTAATGTTCCCCATCTGAATGCAAATTTAGTACCTATACAAGATTACAAAGCTTTCATAACTTCTTCTTTTTTTTCAGTGTCAATTTATTATGCAATTTCATCCAATATTGTAAGTGAATCTTCTAAAGCCTTAAAATAACCATTAACAATTTCAGTAGGATGAATATTCTTTTCTATAAATGGTCTAGCTGCAACCATCATTTCACCTGCCAAAATTATAACTGATGTTGTTCCATCTCCAACTTCTTCATCTTAAGCCTATAAATTATAATAACTCAATAATAATACTCTTGCTAATTCAATCATACTCTTTGCTGCTGGATGTTGAACATCAATCTCTCTTAAAATTGCATTACCATCATTAGTCATTACTATTCCTCCCATTGGATCTAATAACATTTTTAACATTGAACGAGGACCAAGAGTAGTAAGGACTATATCTGATACAGCCTTAGCTGCTTATATATTTCCCAATTAAGCTTTTCTTCCTTATTCTCTTTTTGTATTAGCATTCACAACAATCACTGGAGCTCCTTACATANTAATCCTTCTACTCTATTAGCTTTCTCTAATAATCTAGCACTAACTTCCATTTCAACAGCTCCACCTCCTGGTAATAATTTTGGATCTTAATATATATTCTTAGCCACTGCTAAACAATCATGTAAATTTCTTTCCTATATAATTAATACATTATATAATATACCATTTCATTTAGAACATCTTTTGAAGCTCCTCTCAATATGATAGAACAAGCAGTAGGATTTTAACAATCAACAAAGAAAGCAAAATAATCATCTCCTATTTTTTTGACTTCAAATGTTCCACATAATGTACCAATATCAGTTTCTTATATTTCTTCTGGTCTATTAACAATTGTTGCTCCAGATACTCTTGCTATTCTAGTATTATCTGTTTTTCTGACTCTTCTAATTACAGAAACATTTCCTTTTAATAAGAAATGTTATGCTAAATCAGATACTCCTTTTTCTGTAATAACAATATCAGGTTTATGTTTTAAAATATCATTACACATTAATGCAACTTCATTAATTTCTTATTAAAGTGCATCAGTCATATCTGATTCTTTTGTCATTTCCATATTAGTCATAGATTCTCCCTTTTTGTATTCTAATGTACAATCTAATAAAATTATTCTTGGATTTTTAATTTCTCTTCTCATTCTTGGATGAGTAACATCTTTATTAATCATAACTCCTTCAAGAACACAACTTTCTTCAAGAGTTCCACCAGGAATTTTCTCTACTTTTGCATATCTCTTGATTTCCAAATTCAATTTATTAACATTACCACCTCTTAAAACTATTCTTGTAGCTTATAAAGAAAGATCACTTATTAATGTTCCCCATCTGAATGCAAATTTAGTACCTATACAAGATTACAAAGCTTTCATAACTTCTTCTTTTTTCTCAGTGTCTATCTATTATGAAATTTCATCCAATATTGAAAGTGAATCTTCTAAAGCCTTAAAATAACCATTAACAATTTCAGTTGGATGAATATTCTTTTCTATAAATGGTCTAGCTGCAACCATCATTTCACCTGCCAAAATTATAACTGATGTTGTTCCATCTCCAACTTCTTCATCTTAAGCCTATAAATTATAATAACTCAATAATAATACTCTTGCTAATTCAATCATACTCTTTGCTGCTGGATGTTGAACATCAATCTCTCTTAAAATTGCATTACCATCATTAGTCATTACTATTCCTCCCATTGGATCTAATAACATTTTTAACATTGAACGAGGACCAAGAGTAGTAAGGACTATATCTGATACAGCCTTAGCTGCTTATATATTTCCCAATTAAGCTTTTCTTCCTTATTCTCTTTTTGTATTAGCATTCACAACAATCACTGGAGCTCCTTACATAATTTTTAAATATAAAAACTTTTAATGGATTTAATTATTTTCTTTTATATTTAATCATTAGTATAAGTATAAATATAATACGATTTCATTTCCAAAAAAAATCTATAATAAATCATCAAATCTGCTTAACTAATTCTAATAAACTATTCAAAGAGTTAATTATATCAATATTCTATTAATTTGATTGCTTTTCCACTTTAGCCTTTGAAAAATCTATTAGTCTGATTTTTAAGTCGTCTTCTGAATCAGAAATAATTAATAAACTTGTTCCTTACCATGAGATCACTTCTTTACACTTTTATGTTATAAAAGATTTAAGATTTTCAATTTTTTCAGTCAAATTTATAATCATTTCTAAAAATATCATAATTATATAACTTACAATTCTTTTTTTAAATATTAAAAAATGTTTTCAACTCCTCTGTCAATTCATCAATAGAAATACGTCTCCCCCAATGCTTATCTCTAAACACAATAATTTTATTGTTTTCTTGAACTTTCATACCACAAATTCGTAAACCAACTTTTGAAGAGGTTGATTCTTAATAACGCATAATATGTGATTGCTTTTCAACTGTAAACCCCAATTTGATATCTAAAATTCGAAGGTTCTTTTAGTTTTATATTAAATTTTCTAGAAGTAAGTATTCTTAAAGTTAAAGAACACTATTTACTTTTATTATTAGGATTAAACCTTTTAGCAATAAGAGAATCCATCCATTTTTATTAACGTTAATCTAATTTTGGCTTTTCAATTACTTTATTTTCCTCTAAAGTAATGACACCATTATATTAAGAGAAGAAATCCTAATATCCTTGGATATGTTGTACCCATTCATAAAAACTTATATTCTAATTGAATACATACATTTATTCATTATTATTTTCTGTTGAACATGATTTTGCTACAAATTCACCGTCATTAAGTTTAATAAATATAGAATGTCCAGATATTTGTTGTTCAAAAAATTATTGCTATAATTCTTATTCAAAATTCATTTTATAATTAAATACTAATTTAATCAAGTTAGCATATTTTTATACTAAATTTTTCAACAAATATTCCCATATTATATTATAAGTTGGATAATAGAATAGATCAAAAAAGGAATTACTTCTTTAAATTGATAACAAATAATTATAATATAATTTAATGTATCTTTTAATTTATCATTAACAATATATTCTAAGTTAAGATTATTGAAATATTATGAAGAATATAATTTTTAACTAATTTAAAAATAGTTTGATACTGTTATTTTTAATTCACATAGAATCACAGCAATCTTACTTAAAGTAGGTTATTGAAATTAGTTAATACTTATTCATTCTTTATACTTAATTTTTCATAATATTAACAAAAATCACTAAAAAAACTAAAATATGATTTAAACAAAGTTCAAAATATTAACTATTTTGAAGGAACTTTTAGTAATTATAAATTTTAAAAATTATTTAAAGAGGCTTTTCAATTGATAGCTTAATTTCTAATATGGGATAGGCAAACGAGAGATAAATGTTCAATACTTAATAATAATAATATATTAAATTCATTTTATATAAGCAAATCAACATATATGTATTCATTATAATATAGAAGCATATTTTATACATTTTGCATTCTGTATTTACATAAATCCATATATTATAGAATGATTAATTATAGAATAATTATTATTTTGATTTAATCATGTGTCTTCCAGTTAGTTGTTTGAAATGCATAGTGGAATTTGAAGCAATTCTCATATTGATAGGAGGATTGGGTAGTTTTGGGTTTACGATATACTTATAGATTGAATATAACATAGAAAAATAGGATGATGTAAAAATTAAACTGATTTAAAGACAAATTAATTAGGACCAGGTACTATAGTTACTTTTTGGATAATCTCTTCTTGCATGATTCTAAATGGAATAATAGGAATATTGGGAGGAAAGAAAAAAAGTGCTTGTCTATTGTTATTATTCAATTTGGTTAATATTGGATTATTACTTGGATTTATTGCTCTTATGATTTTAGGATATGTTTTGGCAAATAGAATAGAAAAGAATGATATCAAAGATTATTGTTCTTCAACTACTCCTTTATAATAGACTTAGAATTTAGGATAAAATCTTTTATGTTCTTCTGATTGTGAATGCTATATTGAGAATCCAGGTAATCTTCCCCCCTCTTATGTTAATTATTCAACAACAGATACATCATAAGTATAAATATAGTTTAATATATATAGGCAACTAAAGTTTAAGATTGTTAATACTATAGTGATAACTGGAATGATACTTAGAAGAATTAAGCTTATTTTTTTTTAAATATTGAAAAAAAATATGATTGCTCTGGTTGGTGCAATCCATTTTCTTTATAAATATTTTATGATATCAATAACAATTTTGATTAATCTGTAAATATTTATCTATAAATTAGAATGATCAATGCTTATTTTCAGCTCAATAATAATTATATGATACATGTTAAATAATAGGTGATATTTCAGCTGGAATGACTGGATTAATGGGATTAATGGTAATATTTACTTTTTGTCTATGTTGTCATCCAACTAAAAAAGATTAAGATTATTATTAAAAATTAGCATATTATGATTCATGATATATTTAAAAGATTATATAATTTGTAATTGAACAATAAATTATAATTAATTTATTTGATTTATTTTTCTTTAATAATTAAAAGATAATCAAATTATCCTCTTTGTATTCTTATTATTAAATTAAAATATGAATTAAAAATATTAAATATAATTTTGTGATATCTCTTTTATACAATAGAATCTAAATGTTATACTAATTATTATATAATTAATATCTATATTTTTGTAAATTAATAGTACTCCATATATTAATCTATATTTTTAGACTTAGCTATGTTATTTACTTAAATATAAAATACATTAATCTATGATTTTGATTTCATAAACTATGAAGTTTACAAAAGACTAGTCCTCTATATAACCAGATCATTTAGTTAATATAATTCTATCATATAATATTAGTAGATGTATTACTAAAAGTTAAGAATAAAAATGTTATTTATATATAAACAAATATATTAGTAATTTAATATTAAACATGATAATAAATTACTATATTATATATAACCTTTTATGTCTAAATTATCATCATTATTTTAATCAATATGAATATATATTATTAATATGTTATATAATTTTATTAAAATACTAATCATATTCCTTTTGACTATAATTGGATTAGGATTTCGGTTTCTCTTTTAAATTCCAATAGCATCAATTTTGAACTTACAAAGAAGAATAGTTAAAATATTCAATTCTTTTATTGAATTTTAATACAATATGCTAAGTGTTCTAAAAGGAGAGCGTGTCCTTGTAATAGATTTTGGAGCATTATATAAAGCAATTGGTTTATGGAATGATGAAGATGAGGATGATGATGATAATTCTAACCTGATCACTAAGCATTATTGAATATATCAAAATAATAAATAAACTCATCTATTAAAAATTTAAAATAATTCAATTATCATTATTATCTAGTATCAATTCTTTTTATCAATATTTGTTTATTGCTTAAAGACATCTTGGCCAAACATAACAAAATCTTCTTTTTCTAATTTATTATTTAACTAATTTTGAAATTATTAAAATTCTGATTCCTCATATGATTATCTAGTAGTAGATTTTAAATCTAAATCATTTGCATTATATATATCTTATGTAAAGATCACACCATTATTATCTAATCTTTATATCCATGGTGCTTCTGGTTTATTTTCCACTAATAATGGCTAATCATAATTATTTATAATAATATACACTTATATTTTCCAGTAATTTAAGATCAAATTAAGGAAGCATTTCTGGTATTTCTATTTAAGGTAAACAAAATGATAATCTTGTTTAAAGATTTTATTTATATTTTTTTAAAGGAATTTTTATCATAGGATATACATTACACAATCTATTATCCTATGATAAAATAATAAGATTAGTTAATTAAGATAGTTCTGTTCTTAATTCAGTTTCTTCATTTTAATCATCTATTAATAATTCTATAAATAATTAAAGTAAATTCTTTTATTCTTTTTCTTATAGATTATTTTTTAATTCTTTTAGATTTTCAATTGCCAAACTATTTTAACCTGAAAGTAATTAAAGTATAGATAGATTAAATTAGAATTCTAATTAATTGTAAACTCTATTAATATGTTTTTATTCAGTTTATTATTTGATTACAATATTATCAGATGTTTAATAGATTTAATAAGATTCAAGAAAAGAAATTAATGCAATATCAAATTATTTTAAATAAAATTCAAATAAACTTCGATAAAATATAATATCTTATGTTTTGAAGATTTTACCTTCATTTCCATTTTTTATGAATTAATTTAAACAATCTATACTATTAGATAATTAAATTTAACCACAATTTATTATTGAAATTAATTTTAATTATTACAAAACATTCAAGTCAACAAAAGGTGCAATATCATTAGAATATTCAACTAATTTTTATAAGTCTTATATTGCATTATTTAATTCCTTAATAGTAATAAATGTTTTTGCTCTCTAATATAAGGCTTATAAACATTTTTCAGAATTAATAATATTTGAATATGATTAGATTGCTTCTTCAAATGCTCCCATTTAATAAAATAGGTTTCCAATCAAAATTTAATCTTATACTTTTAAACAAGATTCTTGAAATTGTTATAAATCATAATAAGCATGATTAGTATCTTTGAGTATTAAAAATACCTTAGCTCTACATAAATAAACTTCTGAATATGATTCATCTAAATTAATAGCTATACTAAAATCATTTAATCCTTATTTATATTGTTATCTACAAACTTATACTAATCCACGAACATAAAATTATTTTGCTACATTTTCTTATGACTTATCAATTGCTTTGTTTATATCACTTAATGAATCATCCAATCTATTTAAAGAAAACTGAATGATTCCTCTACAAAAAAATAAATTAGAGTTTTCATTAATTTTTAAAGCTAAATTTAATAATCTTATAGCATCATTCAAAAATTTATTCTTTCTCTCTTAATCATCTTTTGGAATAAGTTAACAATAAAATTTCACTAAAGTTACTGCTCTATAAAAGTATGGTTCCATTTTATTTGGCATTAATTTTGAAGCCTTAACAAAATATCCTAATGATAATTCAAATTAATTAGAAATCGTAGACATAATCCCTTCAAGAATAAGTTTATTATAAATTGAAGGCTTTTCAAGTTAATCTAATGAATCAAGATCTAATAATGACTATTAATATTTAGATAGACAAAAATAACCATATGATCTGTATTATACTATTAATCTTTTTAAGAAATCTTCTATTTAATTATTAGATAATAATTCTGTTAATAAATTAACTCCTTCATCAAATTTTGTTTTCATCAATAAAATAACACCTTCTGTAAACTATTTGATGTTTTCAATAAATCTTTTATCAATATCTAAATGTTCTGCTCTTCTCAATTAATATTAAGCTTCATAAAAGTCCTTTTATTAAATTAATCTTTTGGCTAATTCATATAATGATTTGGAAACAGCTTTTTTAGAATTATTATGTTTGATTGCTTATTCATATGCTAAGGTAGCTTCTTAAATTTCATCTAACTAGTTTTCAATAATTTACTTTTCTTTGTACATATAAAGCCTTTTAGATATAAAGCATCAGAATCTTAGTCATTAATTTCTATAACTTAACTGATATCTTTCATAGCTGATTCATAATCCTTCTATTCTAAATATAATAATGTTCTTTTAATCAAACCAGATCTTTTAAATTAATCCTCTAATTTAATTGCTTAAGTATATGCTTATATGCTAATCTCTACATTATTCATCATCCTAAAACAATCACCCTAACCAATATATCCAACTGCTTTATTTGGCTTTAATTAAATAGCTATCATAAAGTCTCCCAAAGCCTTATCAAATTTTTGAATCTTTATATACAATTTACCTCTAATAATATAAGCATCAAAATATTTAGCAAAATTTTAAATACAAAGATTAAGCTAATTGTAAATATAAATATAATACAATATTTAAAGATTCATTCATTAAATTTAATTTTTTAAATGCCATAGAAAGGATAATGTATGCCTTTTTATTGAAAAGAGGATGTTCTTGTATTAATTGATTCAAATTCAAAATAACTTAAGAAAATTCTTATTAGTCAAAATATTATATTGCAATTTAAAATCTTATTTCAGGATCATCACAAGTCTGGATTACTTTTTCAAAATAATTTAAAGCTTCTTTTATTTTACCTTATCTAATCATTTTTTTTCCTTCAACAATCTTTTTAGAATTTTCACTACATTATTTAATGTATTTAACTTAATTTAAATTACCTTGTTTATTGATACTATCTTTAAAAGAAATATTTGATAAATGATTGATATAATTCATTATATCCTCATTCTCTTTCTAATAACCATTGTCATCTAGAAAGAATAAACATTTTTATATACTATTATAATAACTTATAGAATGTTGCTTATTAGAATGGTTTTTTATGATTGTATTTTAATTTTTGGAATTGGCATTTTAGATAACATTAGATATATTATTTTTAGATTCCTATAAGAATGTTTTGGGTTGTTTCTAAATACAATAATGAAATACTTGAATCACTTAATATACAAACTGTGAAATCTTGGATTTAGGAAACTCTTATTGTTATGTTTGGAAATGCATTGAATATGCCTTCTATAATAACTCTAAAAATTAATAATGTTTTGTTTATTGTACATTAAAATTAGTGTTGACTTTGTAATTTTAGGATTTGAGAATTTAAATAAGTATCTGTTGATCTTTATCTGTTTTGGAATCTAGTAGATGAGGTTTTCTATTGAGATTTTATCATTCTAATAGTTTCTATATAATAAATTACCTTAATTTACTGTTAACTATAAATATAATTCAAAAATAATCCATTTAGAAGAAACAATTTTTTTGAATCTAAGAATTTACGAAAATAATTTTATAAAAAATAAAGTGATCATTTATCAAATTCTCTATCTTCCTTATATTCTTGTATTGCTTTATTTAAATCCCAATCTGCAACTTCTAAATAATACTTAGCTACTTTTTCACTATGATCAGAGGGATCCAGAATGTTTTTAAGCATATATTGCAACATGAATATTTTATGTAGAGAATTTTAATCCATTTCTTTTTATTAATTATCATATGAGGATTAATTTGGAATTATAATTGATTTGAGATAATAAATTTCATTTGATGTCAGATTGTTAAATTTTCGAATAGATTCTGGAGTAATATTATATTTTATAGCCAAACCTTGTAGAGTCTCACCTTTTATTTCATGTTCAAAATAATGATCTTTTTAGAATTATTATACTTATTCATCAGTTATTTCAGGAGTAGGTGTCTCTTACATTATAAAATAAATAATTAAAAAATAGATTAAAGTACTTTAATCCTCTTTAATTTGATTCTTCTAAAGATAAATTAGGTCAATTTAATTAAAGATCTAAAATTTGATATACAAAGATAAGGTTTAAAAATTTAATATAATATGAAAGAAACTCATATTATTAATATATACTTAGAATATAATATGAGTTCAGTGAATACTATAGTTAAATTGATAAATGGATGTTCAATCACAAATAAGTATTGTTCAATAATATTAATATTGAATAAATATTTATTATAATAATTCTTATTTTTATATATATATAAATCTAACAGATCATAAATTTCTTATCACTTTTTTTCATTAATTTATTAGATTAGATTATGATCAAATTGATATTTAAATAGAATATACAAAAAATAAAATTTCTAAGTTTATATTTTATCATTTTTATTTTAATAATCAATCATCACCTGTGTTTTTGAAAGTAATAAAATTGATTAGATTATCTTTAATAGCACCTGGAAACAAATTGTGTTTTACTTCATTATTATTACCTACTGAATAAAGAATTACTACTATCTTATTAATTGTTAAATATTATTAATTTACCTTTATTATCATATTTAACATGGCAGTTAGAATGACTGTAGAATGTAAAAGGGAATCTATCTTGGTTTCTAAAATTTTGAATCTACTCCATTAATTGTGCCAATACAATGCATAGACAAAATCAATTATGAAAGAGAATAACAATAGATAAATGATCCTAGTATGAAACTATGTTAGAATGGAATAATTTGCACTTTCTCGAACTCCCATAAAAATATAGCAAATATAAAGAGAGGTAGATTGTAATCAGCTCTTCCAAATGAGCTAATAAGCGACGATAGAATTCCAAATATTAGCACTTTCTATACTAATTGCCACCTAAATGTCTTATTAAATAATATACTAGGTTGTTTCAGGCATCTTTTGATAATTTTTCTTAATATTAATATCTATAAAATTTGAATTACAATTAATTAACATCTTAAAAAACTATTAAACAGATAAAAATTGTCTAATTTTTAGTTTAATTTTATATTCAATCAAGATAAACTAATTACTAAATTTAGTTAAATCTAATTGATTAAAATTATAGCTCTAAGATGTAATAATTAATTTATGGTAAAATAAATTTATAATCCAAGTATTTAAAATACTTTATATTGAAATATATATTAGATTATAATTATTTTAGTGTTTTCATTTATATAAATAAAATAATGTGAAAATTCATATTAATAATATTGTGAAATAAAAAAGATAAGTCTATAATATTTAACTAAGAAGATATTAAAGAGAATAAATAAAGAATTTTAGACTCACTATAATAATCTGATAATTCTGAATAAGATCATAAAAATATCAGAATATATAGTTCTATAAATATTTTAGTATTTAAGTTCATTAACATATTAAATTAAGGTGGAAATAAATTAGAAAATTTACTTTAATATATTAATAGTCATAATTAACTCAAAATATTTTGAGATTATTGAAGGATTTTTTACTTTTTTAGTAAAATGCAAAAATACATCAACAACATACAAAGAATCATTAAAATTATTAAAATTTTAGTTATTTAATAAATAATTTGAATTTAGTATGTAAATTGGTGTGAATCTTTATTATTTAATGAGATTATATTAATAAAAATCTAAACAATAAAAAATTCAAAAAAGATTAGTAACAGTTATATATTCATTTCTTCATAATTTAAGTTTAGGAGATTGTGGGAATAAATTAATTTAATAAATTATATAAACAGTATTATTTGAAAATATGTCTGATAAGATAGTATCTTAAATCAACTCTATTCAATATTAACTAATTTAATAACAGATAATATTGATATTGTTATCAAAAGTGGCATTTTTTGAAGATGCTTTTAAATATGTGAGATAAGTTAATCAGAAATATAGAATATGAAGAATTCTTAAAATCTTTTACATAAAAGATTTGATAATGTATTTAATTGTAATTATTCTAATTTTAATAATATTATTTTCTCTATTTTCATATAAATTTTCTTTAGTGATTTATCAAATTGTAAATAAAATAATTTGAGATAAGTATACATTTTAAAATATTTCTTCTCAACATTTGTTTTTTATTTAGAATAACTACTAGTTTTAATTAAAACTAATATTGTTATAATTAATAAATTTAAATACTTTATCTACTTAAATGCTATTTTGAAGTTGTGAATCTTATTTTTATGGAAAAGTTTAAATCAATCAGAATTATTAAATCAACATGGAAATAAGATAATAATTTTTTTTAATGATAATTTTATAAAGAATTATGAAGTAAATTATTCGAAATATTAATACATAAATTTATTTAGATATATTTAATTTAGAATTTTTATTAAAAAAATTAAATATTTTAAATAATCTTTAAAATTATTTTTCAAAAAATCTAACAACTAACTTAACAACTACATTTTTAATTTTATGGTTTATCAATTTGTTATTCTTAAATTTATTTTGATTGTTCTTATTATTTTTATTATTTTATTTATTATTTTATTTATTATTTATTTTATTATTTATTTTATTATTTATTTTATTGTTTAGATTATTTTTGATTATAACCTTAATCTTGATTATAGTCTTAATCATAATCTTAATTATCATCCTAATAATCATCTTAATTATCATCTTAATCTTAATCTTAAAAATCATCATAATCTAAAATTTGCTCATTTTAATTTTCACTATCAGATTGAGGATCTTAATTAATTTCTTAATTTTAAATATATTTTTGATTGTCATTTGCCTAAAGAACTTAAACTTATTCATTAAATATAATTCCTAAAACTAAATCATTTGATCCAAGATTAGCTAAAAAACCTTTCACAGCTTAACAAACTTTATTCCAATGAGATTACATTGATTAAGATATATCAAGATTGAATAACACAATATAATGGTTAATTTACACTTAAATAATTGGTGATATCTATTATTATCTTAAAGAAATAGTTGCTTATTGATTTCCTATTACTAAGTTTCTTTATTCAACTTTAATTCCAATTTTCATTTATATTTTTTAAAATATATCATTAATTCCATTACTACTAATTGAATGATACTCAGCAGAATTTCCACTACATTTAAGTATAGCTTACATTTCTTATTTAACAATTTAATTGTTTTCCACATTTACTCCTATGTAAAATGTTTATAGAATATTTTTTTAAAGTAATAATTATAATAAACTTTGATAATCTAGAAATTCTTATAAGGATATTTTCGATCTATTGTCTTCCCCATCAGTAAGTATTACATGTACAAACTTATAATGATCTTGAACATCAAATTTACAACATAAATTATATAGTTCTAACATTAATTTATTTCCTGCATAAACAGCATCTCTAAATGCAGTATATCCATTACAATTAACCATGGGTAACTATTAATTTAAATTTGATTCAGAGGCAAATTCAAAGCCCAATAAATGCATCAAAGTTGGTAAATCCATAAGAATGCAAAAATATTAATATTACTTTTAAAGTGATAAAATATTGATTTATAAATAGAATATATTATTGAATATTATAATTTTATAATAAGTTAATTAATTTAAATAGTTCTAATTAATAATTAAACATAATTTTATAGTTTTTTAAAAATCTAAAAATAATAATATAATAATAAAAAAATCAATATGCTATTTTTATAATATCATAATTATAATTTAAAGATATAAATTATCTGAATATTCTTAGTAACATAATATAGATCATTTAAATAATAATTCTAATATATTTATTACTAAATAAATCAATAAACAACACATCTATCCCACCAACTTGGAAAAGAAGTTTTTGATTTGAATATACGTATCTAAGATTAATATTTATTATTGTTTTACACAAACTTTTCTTCCTTCATTCCAAAGAATCAAAACTATTCCAAAAGGAAGACCACAAATTCCATAGTGGATAAACAATATGTCTCTGGTTCCAAATCCTGTATTGAATACTTCAATATATGATAGACTCCAAGTAATTAAAAATTCAATAAAATATGCCAAATACATATAAACATTATCAAATCCTAAACATAAATATAAATAGATACCATTATAGATTGCAGATCCTTTGAGTTATCTTAATGCTTGATAATTACAAATTTATCCTAATACAACTCCAAAAAAGAAGGAAGTCTATGAATAACTTGATGCTTCTGTATGATAGCAATATGGTCTTTTTGTTACAGGAGATATTAAATCTATATTACAATCTCCCCATTCCATATTTGAAACTATTTTACCATTTTCACATTTCAGTAAAGTCATTCTTAAATCATGAACTCCATGTTTAGGATATATCCAATCTATATCTTCTTATCCTATTAGATCAGTTCCTTCACAAACTCCATTTGGGTAAGATTCTCTAAGATTAGAGTTACCGAACCATGGATCTTTAGGATTATAAAGATCATTATATTTTGGAAGAACTCCTTATTTATTCAATAAGAAATAAAGAGATGATGGAGTAAAACCAAAATCATTAAAGGAAACATACCATTAAAAGAATCCACAAAATGTCTCTAAGATTCCATTTTAAGCATAGGCAAATGTAATCAATTAACCTCCAACCAAATGTTCATTTTTATTTCTAGGTCTCCTTGTCATCACATCTAGATCTGCTTCTTCAAATACAAATACCATTGATGGAAATATATCAGTTCCTACTTAAATACACAAAACTAAAACAGTAGTAAGTGGTAATGGTAATCTAAATACTATAAATCCTAAAAATGGAATTAATTCTGCAATATTAGAGGTTAATGAATAAACTATTACTTTTTTAAAATTATCAAATATTCTTCTACCTTCTTGTATTCCAACAACAATACTAGAAAAATCATCATTTAATAAAATCATATCTGCAGCATCTTTAGCTACATCTGATCCTGTAATTCCCATAGCAATTCCAATATCTGCCTTTTTTATAGCAGGACTATCATTAACACCATCTCCTGTTACTGCAACTATATGTCCTCTTTTTTGACATCCAGTTACAATAATTAATTTTTAAGCAGGACTAGTTCTTGCAAAAACAAGTTATGGTTTGTTTAGCCATTCTTATAATTATCTTCCTTTTTCTTCTTCAGGTAATCCTTCATCATCAATAGCCATTTTTGTTAATCTATCTCCATGAATTACTAAAGCATTTGATTAATTAAAAGCTTCTTCAAATGAAATATTTTTCTCTTCCATTATTTCATTTACTGTCTTTTCTGTTATAATATTACATTATCTTGCAATAGCTGCTGCAGTTACTGGTTAATCTCCTGTAACCATTATTACTTGAATACCAGCAGATTTACATTTTTACACTGCATTTGGGACTGAATCTTTTGGTGGATCAATCAAAGAAATGAGACCAACAAATGTTTATTATTTGAATGGAAAGTTAAAATTGTCTAAATCAAATTTATAATTTTTTGGAAATTGAGATTTAGGTAATGGAATTCTTGAAAATCCTAATACTCTTTCACCTTATCTTCCAAATTTACTATTAATTAAATCAAATTCATTAGACCATTTCTCATCTATTATTTCAACTTTCTAATTACAATATATACTATCACATAATGACCAAATCTTTTCAGGAGCTCCCTTAGTCAATAAACAAAAATGAGAATCTTCTTGTTCATCTTCTATGATAATACATGCAAATTTATTTGTTGAATTAAAAGGTTTTCTTGCAATTTATTAATTTTTATCTTTTGCAAATTTCTTCTTGGATCTAGTTACTATTATATCCTCAATTGGTTAAAAAAACTTTATAAGAGCAGTTTCTGATGCATCTCCAATAGTAGGTTTTTCTTAACAACTTAATTTTTATATGTCCTTTTACCATTATATTCTAGCTTCCTCTAATTTTTAATCTTTTTATGCTTATGAAAAACCAATTGAATTATTAATCTTCATCATTATATTCTAAGGTAAAGTATCATCAAAAACAGCTTCTGAACAAAGTATTGCTGTTTCATGTAATAATCTAAAAGTTGGATCTTAATCATTATATTAATAATTGAATTTTGAACCCATCTTTTCTTTATTATGTCCTTTCATCTTCTTACCATTATACCAAATGTTTTCAACAGTCATTTTATTCTAAGTTAAAGTTCCCGTTTTATCTGAACAAATACAAGAAGTAGATCCTAATGTTTCTACTCCTTCAAGGTTCTTCACTAATACTTTCAAACCTGCCAATTTCTTTGCTGTTATTGATAAAGCAACAACTACAGTAGCTAATAAACCTTCAGGAACATTTGCAGATATTATACCAACTGCAAATATTAAATTTTAAATAGCAGCTAAGCATAATATAATAATAATTACGATATCCTACTGCAAAACCTAATACAAAAAATAAAATTCCTATAGACAAAGCGATAATAGCTATATATACTGTAAATGCATCAAGCTCTTTTTTTAATGGTGTTTCATCTACAATAGAACTCTAAACTAATCCTGCTATTTATCCAATCACTGTTTTGTCTCCTGTAAAGATGACTACACCTTTACCTGTACCCTTAAAATAATTTATTTAAATACTTCTTTGCATAGAGTACCAAAAAAGGCAAGATTTTTAGTTTCTAATGGATTTTCTTAATGAGTACATTCTGGAGATCTTATCAATAACACAGATTCACCAGTTAAACTTGAATTATCTACTTTCATTTGGTTGCTCTCAATAATTCTTATATCAGCAGGTATTTTTTTTCCAAATTCTATAATTACTATATCTCCTGGAACTAAATCAATTGCTGGTAGTTTCTACTATTTGCCATCACGTATCACAATAGTTTCAGGAGGTATAAAATTTACAAATCCTTCCATTATTGCCTCTGATTTCCTATTCTAAAAATAAGTCATTAGTGCTGTTATTAAAATGCAAGCAATTAGAACTATTCCAAGATATAACTAAATAATAATGTTATTTTCTTACGTTAGATGGATCTTCTGGAGTTAATCCATATGCTAAAAAACACAATCCTGCTGCTCCCCAAAGTAATAAAGCAAATACATTTGTTAATTCATGTAATAATTATATATACCATGGAGACTTTTCTTTCTAAGTGAGAGTGTTTCTCCCATATTACTTCAATTTTTCATCTATCTAATTTGAAGATAACCCATTTATCAAAGAAGTTTATAGTCTTTATTCTAATTCTGTTAACGGTATGGAATGTTCATCCTAAAAATAATAAAAATGTTGTACCATGTTTTTGAATTTCTCTGCCTTAGATGTGTCCACCTTCTCATTCTTTAATCCTTTTTCATTCTATTTCAATAATCTCTTCCTCCTTTACATCATTTCTTTTGTGATCTCATCAAACTCTCTTTATGCATCTAGTAATTGAATCTCTTAGCTAAATGCTTAGATAATCTATATACTATTATTAAGTAAATGCTGTGATGATTGCAGAAGCACTTCTACTTTAAGGCTTTTAATTCATATAATTAAATTGAATAGGATATCAATTTTAACATATACTTTAAAATGCATTCTATTTTTAGAACATATTAATTATTATTAAATTCTTATGTATGAATTAATTTATAATCTTGCAAATAAAAAATTTAAAGTATTTTAAGAATAAATAAACATTTTCTTTATTTGGAAAATTAATTAATTTCTTAATTCTAACATTATACAAAGGATAATCATCTTTTATATACTTATATTTTTAATTGATAGTCTTTATTATAACTCTCAAAAAGATGTGATGGATTAAAATACTAAAAAAACAGCATTTTATTATAACACTTTTTCAATTGAATGTTCAATTTGAAACAAAGTCCAAATTTTTTATAATATCTTTATTGTTATTAATTAAATTAGTATATAAAATTCTTGTTAAATAATATTTAAAAAAAGAATTACAGTTTTGATATGAGATTTCCTAAATATATTTAATATTGAGCCTTATTAAACTGAAAAATAATATTCATTTATCATCAATTGTAATTTAAATATTAAAATTAAGAAATTAAAAATTAAAAAAAGTATTTATCATTAATCTTAACAATTATATTTTAATTCTAAACAATATTAGTAAAGAAAGATTATCATCAAATTTCTTAATTTAATTCTGAAATATTCTTATGAACCAAGTATATTTATATTCAATAAAATGAACAAACGAATTTAGATAGTATTTTTGTGATTGATAGTTTCAATTTAACAGAATATTCAGATTATAATTCATGATTTCATATATTTCTAATAAAATTACAAAATTTCTGATTAAGTATGTAAATAGAAATTTAAATCTAGATTATAAAAAAATTTATAATTTTCTATATTTATTTTTAGCAAACAATATCAATTCAAACTATTAAGCATATCAACAATTTATTATTATTATCATCTAAAATTTGCTAGTTCAAGAATCAAATTTCCTCGAAGTTTATATTTTAATATCATTATAAAAGCATTATTAGAGAATAAGATTGAATATAGATTAGATTAGAAAATAAATTAATATTTATCTATTTTAGAATAAATATTATCAATTAAATTAAATAAAATTAAATGGAAAGTAGTATAAAATCCTATTCAAACATTCTTTAACATATATTAAATTTATAATTAACTAAAATCATAAGAAAAATCATATAACAGGTGTACATAATATTTATATTCTTGTATAACATTTGATATTTATAAAGAAAATATAATAAATGAAAGGAATAAATAACTTAAATGTATTATTTGTTTTAACTTTAATAAATTTATGAAATTAAATATAGATAAATATACAATATTTACATTAATATCTAATGACATAATTAAAAAGAATAAATATCATCTAGATGATAAATTTTAAGAGTATATTGTTTAAGCATCTGAGATTCATAAATATATATAAATAATGAATTTTCCAACTTTCTTATAATTAGTACATTTTATAAAATTTAATAATATTTAATGGCTCATAAACTATCATAGAATTGGGTTTTGTGGTATGCTCCTAGAGGCAGAAAGGCAATAGCAGGTTCAGATCATTATGATGTGAATCTAAAAGAGATTGGTGAATTTAATACAGTAGAGGAATTTTACAGTTATTATTGTTTTTTACAGAGACCTAGTGAAGTAAAAAGAATTTAGATTAATATAGATTGAGATTGATAACAAAATTATGATGTTTAGAAAGGAGCATAAACCAATGTGGGAAGAGTGTTTGGATGGTGGAACTTGGATTATCCATTTTAAGAAAAGAGAAAATGAATTGTTGAATAAGAAATGGGAAGCTCTTCTTTTAGGTTATTTATTGTGATTTTATCATTAGCATGTATAGGAGAAGAGTTTGATGATGATAATGTTATAGGAGTAGTGCTTTCAATTAGGGAGAGAAGAAATTTATTAGAGATTTGGTTGAAAGATAGAAAAGAGAGTGAAAAGATAAGAATAGGTGAGAAGTTAAGAGTTGCATTGGAAATGGATCCAAATAATCTTACATTCTTTTTCAAGGAACATAGTAAGAGTTTAAATGTATTATATAATATTTATTGAGTTTAGGATAAATCGACTATGAAAGGAGCTGAATCTTATACATTTGTCAAAACTCCACTTGAAACTCCTTAAGCAGAACCAAAAGGACAACATCCAGAATTAGATTAATTCAAACTTTGATTAATTATATACGAGATAAATAGGCTTACATATTTTAATGATAAATCAATTTAATAATCCGATTTAATGAGTATTTAAGGGTACATATTGGACGGAATATTAAATATGAAATAAATACATCTATTGTATTAAGAATAAAATCAAAATTTAGAATATCTAATTTTATATAATGCAGATTCATTCTGAGTACACATTTAACTTTGATTGGGAGACTGTAGTTAAAGGCTTTTGGAGAAAGTATCCATGTAAAGAATTCGATTTTATCAAATTCAATCAAGTTGTAGATATGATGCTTAATGACAATAATACTATGTCTATTAAGAGAATCGTATGATCTAATTCAATCTAAACATAGGTCTATGCTCGTAAATTCATGGTTTGGTGTTTGACTTTGGAAGAGATAACATTTGACATTGAGAATAGAAGCATGTAGATGCAAACTAAATTATTGAAAGCTTGTAAGTATTATCCAAATCTTTCAGGAGATGAATCAATTATATATAAAGCAATTGATGATTAAAAAACTCATTACTCTGTATTTAAACATCATTTATAAATAGAAACTATTGTCAAATTTTCATTAAACCTTTGTATCTAAATTGATATCTCAATTTAACAGTTCATTTAAAAAAGGCATTGAAGTAGTTGAAGCTAGATGTAGAGAACTTTAAAACAATTAATGACGATAAATAAATTTTTAACTATTAATCAATTATTTATTATAATATTTTAAGATGATCAAGAAAAAACCATAAATCCCTTAAATTAAGGACTCAGAGATTATTGATAAAAATCAATCCAAAAAATAAATCAAAACTATACCATATTCACATAGTCAATCCATTTAAGAAGAGGAAGAACATTCTTCTTTGTCATAGATAAACATTTATGGTCACTCAAAGCCTACTTTTTTAATGACTTTTCCTCAATAACCAAGAGATTTTTAAGGTAGCGAAGACTTAAGAGCTCCTACTATTATAACTAATTTGATTTCCAATAAAAGTCAAGAGCAACTTGCAATTAAATAAGATTGTAGAAAATAACATTAAGTTCATTATTTAGATGAAAGTTCCTAATTTTCTTCTCAATTAAATTCAGTATATTTTATAGATAGTTTATTTCTAGATGCGTTCAATTTTGGAAAATAAAAAATCTATGTAAATCAATTAGGATAGGGTAAAATTATTGGTTAATCATATGAAAGTTAAATTTTTGAATTTAATACACTATTCAAAATATAATGATCCCATTCTTACATAAGAATATAAAGAACGTAATACTGAATTTTTACTCTATAATAGTTTCACCTATTAAGTACAATTACTTCACTATGTATATATTTTTATCGACTACCTTATCAAATATGCTCTCATGTATTTTTATTCCAATTGCTTAATTTTTTGATGTTTCTTTAATCATTTACATAATTTCTTAAATGGCTTATGGATTAGCATCTTTAACTATTTTCCAAGATTTATTTTTTCAAAGAGGTCCTTATAAATTATAAAGAGGAATCATAAAAGTCAATTACAAGGATAATACCAAAAGAGTATTTGATGTATTAAGACTTCTCTTATTATCTATAAGCAGTCTATTTGAAATAGATAGCAAAATTAAAATAGTAGCAATCTTATTGATGATGATATTTTAATTCTTAAGATAAGTTGAAAGTTTTGAAAATATCTATAAGTCCACTCATCATTTTATTTTTATTTTATAACTATGGATATCAATCATAATTTCATTTGCTTGTATTTATTAAGGTATATTTATAAAATAATAAGAGTTTCTCATTGTGAGGAGGATCCAAGTCTCTACTTTTGTATCACTTTTGCTATTTCTCTATTGACTCATTGTTCTAATATATGTAAAACCTACATAATAATATTTTAGCCATTGAAATTACTACTTAAAATTCATTAGTAATTTCTATTTACATGATATTATCATATCTTTGTTTAGCATATACAACAATGATCATATATATTTGGATAAAACCAGAAATAGAGATTGAAGAAGAGAAACAAAAATTACTGAAAGGATTTGTTGAAAGATTTAGGGAGAAATGTGAAAATGATGGACTTTTAAGAAGATGTTATTCTTATTTAGAATTTAGAATAGATGTATATAAAATCTTAAATATTATAGGAAGATTTAAATAAAACTAAAGATCAATTAACAAAGAAATTGAGTCCTGAATTAGAGGATGAGATTGATTTGTCTATAAGATCGACTATGATTGATAAAATTGAATTGATGAATAGATTCTCTCCTTAATTCAAATAATAATTACTTTATGAAATTGAATAAGTGACATTTAATCCAGAAGACAATATCATAATTGTACAATTAATAAGTATTCTAAGGAACATCAAATAGAGGATTTAGGATTGTTTTATATTTTGAAAGGATAAGTAAAGGTTTAGTTTTAAGGTTCTTCATTTGGTACGAATAAAAGAGCAGTAACAACTTTATGTGAAGGATAAACTTTTGGATAATATTCTTTTATAACAGGAATTCCTTCAAATATAAGTATTTTTAGTTCTGGAGTAACTACATTAATGAAAATAAAGAGATCTGATTTCACTTCAATAATATCAAATTATCCAAAAGATAACGAAATATTTTGTACAATGAAAGATAATGCATTTTATAATTCAAAATTATTTGAATGTTATTATTGTAAAATTAGAGGACATTATGTAGTAGAATGTAGACATTTATAATATTTTCCTTAAAGATTAAATGCAATTGAAAAACATTTATATACAGAAAAATAACAAAGAAAAAAATTTTCAAGGAAATTAAAAAAATATTTTGCTTGGCAAGATATGAATTTAAATTAAGATAAAGCTAGATAATATGCTAATAAGTAGAGTTAAGAATAAGTATCAGATGATTTACCTGAAACTTCACAATTACCTTATTCTGAAAGTAAAATTGTACAAATAAACTAGATTAAACACATTAATCAGTGAGTTTTGTAAGTAATTCTTTGGCATAGAAAAATTATAGTCCTGATTAATATCAATCAGCTAGCAATGTAAATGTTGAAAGTTTAGATCAATTTAATATCGAATAAGAATATTAAGATGAATAAACTATACCGATTTAAGAACCATAAATAAAAAGTATTAGAAAGAATTCAAATAAAACAACCTTAAAAACAGCAGGATTCCCTATCAATTTTGATCCTAATAACATAACAAATTTAGGAAATAATTTATCAATTATAGAAAAAGATGATAGAGATATCTTAAATTAATTATAAGAGGCTTAAATGAATAAAGATAGAACTATTTTATTTCCTGCTGGAAGAAACAATAGTTAAAATAAATTAACATTTCAATATTATAAAGAACCTTCTTCAGGAATCATGCTGAAAGAAGATCCAATTAAAACTGATTCTTATCAATAATAATAATAATAATAATAATAATAATAACAATTAACTCATAATACTTTAAAATAATCTATTAGACAACCTTCAAATAGATCTTATACATATTCTAATTCGTTGTCTAAAGATATATCTAATAATCCTTCATCAAATTCTAGATAAAATAAATCATAAAAATTATCTATTTTATCAAGTCAAAACAGAGTTGTAGATTAGACAGGCATTAAAAAAATGAATAGTTCTAAATCTCTTAGTGAATAAAATAAATTAAATAATAATAAGAGTTTAAAATCAGGTACTAAATAGAGTACTCCGAATTAAATGTCCTAGTTTTAAGCCTTAACAACTCCAGAGGTAATATTAATTTTTAGAATAGAACCAAGGCTACTTTATAAATGATATTTTATTCAATAAATTCGAAAAAATGCAGGAGTACAAAATTTATTATCCACACAACAATTATAATTAAGTTATAGATCGATATGTCAAATTTTTAGATTCAAACAGAAAAAATTATTTTAAAAGAAAAAGATTAAATAATGGTACTCCTTATTCGATAAAATGTTTTGTTGCATCCAAAATTAAAAGAGTAAAAAAGCTATTATAAAACTGACTAATTATCTAATATAAATAATTTATTAATTCAATTTGAGGAGGTTAGTTCTGATAAATTTTTAAGACTCTGATGATTTTTTTTATATATTTCTTTAAGATATTAACAATATCCAGTACAACTATTACTTTCATTGCAAAATGTTTGAGTTTAAGTTTAAAATGATTATGTAAATGGTTTATGATAACATTCATTTTTTATTTAACTTCTAGATAATTTAAATCGATCATCCCTATTTGTGAAACAATTAAATTAGTTCTCTCCATAATACTTGTAAATTACTTTATCCTTTGTTGGAATATTTTTTATGAAAAATGTCTTAAGATATTTTGCTTTGAGATCTTCTACCTATCTCTTTTTTTTTGCATCTATAGCAGTTCTAAAATTGAATTAAGTCTAAAAGCTATCTAAAAGTTCTCTAACAGCAGCATCTTATGCAGGAGATTGCTGTGGTAAATTGTGATTTACAATATGATCTTTTACTGCTTATTTTGATTTTGCTAAAATATTTATTTAAATGTATTTATTTTTTCTAGTTGAATTCATTAATGTAAGTGGATCCTTTGGAATCTTTTCAAAAAAGGTTGGTGGTTACCTTTTTAATTTGTCAAATTTTTATTTTTTCTCATCTGATTTATTCTCTTATAATTGTAAACCCTCTGCAGTAGACAAGTCTGTTCTTATAGGATTTTCATTACTCTATGTTTGAAGTCTTTGATTTAGTAATCTAATATACACAATAAATTTACTTCAACTTTGTCCTATCCTATGACTCATCAGTTATATTTTATTATTATTGGTTCATCAAATCTCTATCAGAGCATTGTCTTTATAAACCTTTTGTGATATTTCCAAATTCCACTTTTTTCATAATTGCTGGACATCTTTAACTCAACATGATGATAATAATTAAAAATTGGAAGATTATATATATTAAATTAGTGATATTACTGATGGCAAAAATAATATATAAATCTTTATTAATCAATAAACTTTAAATTGATTACTATAAGATCAATATAGATTTATTTATATCTAAACTAATTTTCATTTAAACATTATTTCAAACATAGTTCTCTTTGAAACCATTCTTAAAAATTAAAATTAAATAATTTTATATCCTTGTAAAAAATATAAATGAATAGATATCTTCAATAAATCCTTTTATTTTATTCTTATAAAAAATAACTACATACTTTTAGTATTTATTTTTGTATAAAGTATTTATGAATCATATTTATGAGGAATAATTTATTTATTAATTGTTTATTTTATTTTATTATTATGCAATCTATTTCAGTTTTCTGATATTTTTTTTTTTATAGAAAAGACATAATTCTTCTAAGACTTATCAATTATTTTTTGTTTTTATTTGATTAAATGAGAATTAAACACTATTCATTTTTTAATAAAATTTTGTAATGATTTATTCCTTATTGTTTTCAATTGATTAATATTAATATTTTAATTTTCTAAATGTAGAAACAATTCAAAAAGTATTTATTTTATTTTAGAATATAATTAACAAAAATCTCCTTAATATGTATTTTTTGAATCATATGAGAGTAATAAAATAGAAATTAAGAAGTTTAATTTATATGTATTACGTTTTTAAAAATAATTACAAATATCTATAGATTTATTTTTATATAAAATTATTATTTATAATAATGGAAAAAATTGGTTTAACCAAATTATTTCTATAGGAACTTTAAATATTCTTTGCACTGTTATTAGGTGAATAATTATTTAATTTAGGTTTACAATAATCTTAGGGATTAGACTCAATAATACCTATAATTATGAATTTAATTTCTGGAATAGTTTTTGTTGTTTTAAAATTCAAAGATTACAATAATGTAAAACTTATTTGGAAATTGAAATTATTATTAATTTTGATATAAGTATCTATGAATGTGGAAATGAGTCAATATTGTTTAATAATTACTCATTTGTTAGATGATGAATTTTTGAAAGGTTTCTGTTTAGGAACAGCATTATTAATAAATATAATATAAGATTAAGAGATAAATTATATAACAACAATACCAAATAGTATTTTATTATTTTTCAATATAATCATATGGTTTGTGTTCATGTTTATATATTGGACAAACACAAGAAGGGAGGATGCATATATTGAAAAGGAACTTCAATAAAAATCTATTTAATGTATTAATTAGAATGATATGTAGTGAAAGAATCCATAAATAATAGAGATATTGGTAGTAGAGTAAATTAACAATAATCATTGATGCAAGAATTGAATCCTTTGAAAATAGAGTGTAATGAAGATGAATAGATTTTATAACATGTTGCATGGATATAAAATTAATCAGTATTGGTTTACAACAATAAGCTAAACATTGTTTATTAGAATATATTTTTAGGAAAATTATTAAAATAATCTACTTTAGATGAATAACAAACTTAGTAATAATCGAAACCTGAATATGAAGAACAATTTTTAAGTAGTTAGATTATGATAGGAAGTAAAGAATTGATTGAAATAAATAATAATAATGTTGATTAATCAGTTAATAGCGAGTATATAATAAATTTAATATAAGTGGTTCCTTCCTGTTGAATAGGGTGAATGATTATCATAAGTGCCGATTGAAATAAAAACTTACAATACGAGAGTTGAGTGTGATGATGCAAAATGAGTTCGATAAGTAGTTTACTTGGAATTAAAGAGATGGCGAACGTGTATGGTGACTTTGTTTACATTAAAGAGTGATGTGTTCGATTTTGAGAATGTCTAAATCAAAGCATTTGTGAATAAGATAAATGAGTGTTCCTATGTCTTTTTCCTTTTTGATTAGAGACCAGTACAAAAGAAGACTGATGAAAGTAATCTATCAATAATAAATGTATTTACTACTTTTGTACATGAATCAGTAAGTTATATTAATTGTATTTTAACTTTAATTTTATTAATTTAAAGTGACCATGAGAATACTCTAAAAATATCATTGAAATAGAATAATTATACACCAATTAAATTAATAAGTTAGAGATTTTATTTATTTGTAAATAGTATGAGAGATTATATTTTTTATATTTAAAATTAGTTGTTTTTAAGAATTTCAGCATTTAGAGTAAGTGATTTAGTAGAAGAGATAGTAAATTTATATGAAGATAATTTAAAGATTAGAGAAGTCAATTTAATAACTTCAATAGATTTAAGTGATAATAATTAAGTTTTATTCACTGATAATGATAGAGTAATTAAAAATATTAAAAATATAGTTAAAATAAATTATAGCTTGTTTATTAACTTATTGTTTAAAATATACTTCAGGATCATCTTTAAAATTAGATATCAAAAGTTATACTGTTAGTGGAATTATGATATCATTTAAAGATAGTATGATAGCTAAAGATGAAAGTCTTAGAAAATCTATATCATCTTTAATAAAAACTTTAAATTCATCATTAAAAACATAATAATTTTATAAAGTGGATCTAAATAATTTATTAGAACTTTAAATTTGTGTGATATTATGTTTTTAATTAAGTGGTACTTTCAAAAGAGGAATTGAATTTCTTTATGATAGTTAAGGATATGGAACATTTACTTTTGTAGTAGAATCATAAGCTAATTAATAAAGAATTTAAAGTCATCAAGATACAGGTCCAATTAAAATTATTGGATAAAGAAAATATTATGAAACATCTTTATCTTTATTATTAGCTTAAGATAGTAGTGGTTATAGAGAAGAATCAAAGTATATCATTTAACATTATACATTAGATATTACACATTAAGTTAATTATCTAAATAATTTTCTATGAAACCTGGAGATGCTTTCGATGGTCATAGTGCATATTTCTCTTAAATCTCAAGGATTAAATAAGATTCATCTAATTCTAAACAAGTTTAAAATTCTGGATCTGTTCCTAAATAATCTAAAGAATAGACTATCAGTTTTTCTGGAACTTGGAAATAAGGTTTTCCAGATATTATTTAATAGACATATAAAAAGAACAGAAATGAAAGAAGTGAATCTTAATAAGATTCTCTTAGAACTCATTCTATTTATGAAGGATTAGAATAAAGTATTCCATCTATACATCCTCCTGAATTTACTCCTAAATTACTACCATCTGTTATTAAGTATAGATTAAGGTTGACATGTTGTTCTAAAGTCTTAATTGTTGATAATGATCATTATAGTGTATTATCATTACAGAAGGTTTTAGAGAAATATAATATTAAATGTGATAAAGCTTTCAATGGAGTTGAAGCTTAATAGATGATTTCAAATAAACAAATAAAACCTTGTCATTGTGGAAACAGATCATACTTATTATTTTTCATTGAATTTTATCTACCAGTAATAATCTATATATATATAATAAATTTTTAGCTTTTTTAAGGAATAGAACTTATAAAATTCTTGAAGGATTAGATGAAAATAGGATTAATTGATAAAGGATTTGCAATAATAATATCTACATTTGCTGATTTGAATTTAAAATTAGAATGTTTTAAGAATGGTGCAGATTATTTTATAGCAAAACCATTTGATTTAATAGATATAGGAGCTGCAGTTTAATATTTAGATTTTTGATAGTTAATATATTTTCATATACCTTTAGATAAACAATTTGATCTTTGTCTGATTTCTATAGTTTTATCAAAGAATAATTCTAATTGCATATTTTATGAATGTTTTTTTTTTGATTTTTTCATTATGTCTATTTCAGAGGCTTTAAATATTTATTCATTTGGTGATAAAGAGACAAAGTTTGTATTGAACCAAATTTATAAGATTTTAGATTCTGAAACTATTGATTTTTAGAATATTTATAAAAGAACATCTCCTTGAAGATATATTCCATCAAATGTAAAATAAATTTCCTTATCTGATATAATTTATGCTTTTTCTATTAATTATTTGCCATTATTCTATAATCTAATCAATGTTCCATGAATTGAACCAACCAAACGAACTGAAAGTAATTCCACTTTCTAAAATGGTTTCTTTATTAAATCATTTTTTAAAGCAAAACTAAAATAATGTACATATCTAATCTAACTTGGAATAGTTACGCCTTTCTAATTCAATGTTCTAACTAAACCATAATATGTTAAAGCATCTTGACTTGAAGTATACTTACCACTATATAATAAATAACAACAAATCATAACTCCTGTTCTACCTTTACCAGCCTTACAATGAACTGCAATAACATGATTTGGATTAGATATCAACCAATCATGTACTGTGGTACAGAATTCTACTATCAAATTAAAAGGAGGTGCTTAATGATCATCAAAAGGAAATTCAGCCACTTTAAAGAATGATTCATGCTTATACTTTCTTTCTGAACATCTAGGTAGCAATCTAAATTTACAAATTTATGACCATATAATTATTTGGATGACGTGTATTTAAGAATTTTTATACTTCTGACATGGGATTTCGATAAATAGCTTCAAAATTCTCTGCAGGAAAACCCATTGCAATTAGATTATCTGTAATATCTGGATAAGTTATTATTTATTTACAAGTTAAATCCAAATTAAAACCATCCACTTTAAATCTTTTCTTTGATTTAGATACTAGTTCTTTTATAATTTCTCTTTAAAAAGCACACTTAACATTTTTCATCATCTTTTATGTGATTTCATCTGCATGATTTTGTAATACTGAAGTATCATTTATTCTTTAATCAATATGTCTATTAAAACATATTTCTATAGGAATTTCACCCATTGGTACTTCCTCATCACATTATTAAAGAAATTGTTATTCAATTTCTTGAACTTTCTAATTGTTTAATGGGCTTTCTAAATATTCATCCTCATCACTAGATATCCGATTAAGTGACGTTGTGTCTTCTATATTATGCATTGAAATCATAAATAAAAAATATTTCTTTTCTATAATATTAAATATAACTATAATAACTAATCCTATACAAATCAATTAATCAATACTATAAACTCTTCATAATCATTTAATATCAAAATTCATTCATCAATAAATGTTACAAATTAACTTATCTATTTTATTTTAACATTTCTCTCTATAGAAATCTAAGATATAGTAATCAATAAATCAAATTAATAATTATTTTCATAATATCAGAAATTAATGGAATTTAAAATCACATCAGATTTTGAGCAAAATTCTAAAAATTCAATTAATTAATTAAATTCGATAATTTTGTTCTGCATGCTATAAAATTCAAAACCTATTTAATGTAAAAATTAACAGTAAAATCTTAAAACTAAAACTAACTAAAGTAATTAAAACCTTATCTAAAAACCTAAGAAATAAACTTAATAATAAATACAAATAATTTAATAAGTAAAATCTAAAAATTCAAAACCTTCCTTTGAATAATATTTCATGAAACCTATTATATACAACATTATCCTATTTCTAAATTTTAAAGAAACATCCTCACTAAGAAGAGTTAATAGCTACTTTAACTAAACATTTATTGAATGTTTACCAATCTTAAAATAATACTATAATGAATAGTTAAATATTTAAAAAGAATTGATTTAATCTAACATAATTTTTAATCAACTTCCTTAATTAAATCATGTTGATGTTGATGAATTTAAATCTGGACTCTATAATGAATTTTTATATGCTTGTCCTGAAAAAGTACCCTAATTTTATATAAAATGTATAGAATTAATTTCTAAAGTACTATTATCAGAATTACCTAAATGGAGATACTCCAAGTATACTTATTAAATGAAGACTAAACTACTCTATGAAAAATTATAAATGAAAGAACCATTAGAAAATTTATATGATTTAACAGATATATAAGTTGAAATTATTAGATCAGAAGCACACAATATAGATAATGGATATACTATTATGAAATGCTAATTTGATCCACTTGTTAATTTTGTAAACAACTTAATCATACTGTCTAGTTCACCACATTATAAAGAATTAAAAAAATATAAATAAATATAGCATCGTATCTAAGAAATATCAAAATTTCTTAATGCTTATTTTAAGAATTAATGATAAATAAATATTTTTATTAAATAATATTTTCAGGAAACTTAATTAAGATCTTGACTATTTTATTTTTATTCAATTAAAATATTTAATTTATATTTTAGAAATATAATTATTTCTATAAAAGACTTTAAACAATATATTAGTAATTAAATATATAAAATTTTACAATCTACTTATACCTTTTTCTTTTAGTAAATTTATATCTACAAAATGTATAAGTATCAACCAATAAAATAAATCTAATAGTATTAGAAAATCAGATAAATGATAGAGAGATTATAAAAATATTTATTGTTTTTTAATGTTCATCAAACTATTTCATTGTTATATTTAAGGTATATATTTATTTTATTTCTAAAGAAACAATAACTTGCAAGTCATTTATAATTATACCATAGATATATTAATTTTACAATTATTAAGCTAACTCAAATTAATATATATATATATATATATATATATGGTATATTTCGAAACATGCTATCATGTGAATCCAAATTAGAAATACTCTAAATAACTAATTATACCTAATCAAAAACATTTAATTATGAAAATAAAATTAAAAAGAACTTCAAAAAATATTCTATTATATTTTTATATATTTACTATTTTAAATATATGTTTCATAGATATCTATTCTAAAACCAGGGATTCATTTAATATTAAATAAACTATTTAATGATATCTAATAAAATTATAATATCAAAATATTTAGCATTCTTCATCTCTAGTATTACTAACTTAATATTAATTTTAGTATTATTAAGATTAGACAGATTTTTAAGGCTGGGCATTTGATTAAGTCACAACTTCTACTTTATCATTAAAGACTATGCCTGACACTAAATCATTGGATCCAAGATTTCCCAAAAATCCACTTACTGCATTACAAACTTAACCCCAATTTCCTGACATAGAACCAGAAATGTCTAGGGTGAAAAGGACAATATAATTATTCACTTTCATTTACAGAACTGGTTAAAATTACTTTTACATTAATGCTATTTATCTTTTATCACTTTCTATTACTAGTCCCTTTTATTATACTCTAAGTCCAATTTACATCTAGATCTTTTAAAAGATATCATTAATTCCATTACTATGTATAGGATAATATGAAGCAGATTTTCCACTACATTATAAAATTGCTTGCATTTCTCTTTAAACTGTTTAATTATTTTCTACATTCACACCAATATAAAATGTTTGTAGAGTATCCTCTGGAAGTTCTTATCGAAGGTATGCTTAATACTTAAGAAAATCTTGTAAACTGACTTAAGACTTATTATCCTCTCCATCAGTTAGAACAACATGTACAAATTTAAATTTATCATGTGCACCTTTCTTACAAAAGAGAGCAAAAAGTTATAACATTAATTAATTTCCTTTCATAACTGCATCTCTAAATGCAGTAGCACCAGTGCAGCTAATTCTTGGTAAAAGATTATTCAATCTAGACTTTGGGGCTTATTCAAACCCAAGCATTGCCATAACAATTGCAATTTCCATTTTTATTTTTATTTTTATAAGATATTCAATGATTAAAATTTGCGCTATTATAATAAATTCAATTCTATTTAATTATTTTTAAAGATCAGAATTTATTGTATTTATAAATTATATAATTTAAAGATCTAATAGTTATTCTATTATATATTATTAAATTGAAAATGGTGGAATATTATTTTAATTACAAGATAAATGATTATTTGATCATATCTTACAATATTAAAAAAGAGATATTTTATTCTATTTGTAGTATCTTATACTAAGTTATATATATAATTGAAATTTATATTATTAATAATTTATATTATTAATAATTTATATTATTAATAATTTATATTATTAATAATTTATAATTTAAAAAAGAATTTTAATTAATCTTAATTAATGTAAATAATATAGAATTATAGTAAGTTAAAGATAGTGATGAATTTTATGATTGATTACAACATAATAATTAATAATTGATTTTTAACATTAAATTAGGGTTGAATACATGTTTCGATAAATTTGTATTCAATTTAAGATGACTAATTCTGAAAATTTTCATTAAAATTAAAATTCATATTTAAGAAGTTTGAAAGAATCAAATTTAATTTTCTCAAAGAAATTAAGTGTAATTTTAATATAATTATGATACGTCAGTTCAAATGTGAAAGATTACACTATATTCTAAACACTAACTATATTGTTGCTATCTATAAAGATAAACTGACAATTGGTAAAGAAGTAAATTGTACTTTATGATATAAAATAGAGTCATCCAAAATATGAGTATAAATTTAAACTTGAAAATGTTCTACACTGGTATGTAGATAACCTAAAATTATAAGCTTTTGGGATTGAATATAAGGGAATTATCAAATTTTTTAAAGCAAATTATAAAGATTTAGAACAATTAAGAAGCTTTTGTAGAAATCTCATATGTTTTGATAACATAGTTGAGTTATACAAATAAATAGATATTAATAATCCATCAAGGATATAAGATTAAATATCGTTATAATTATGTGGAATGAAGATCGTAACTTAGTAGCAGTTATTAACATAAGTTCCACTTATACGAT